CCTTCCTAGTGATTTACAAGAAAGTCGTAATAATCAAATAAAAATATGAGTTTTGACTTTGAGAAGATTTGAACCCACACTGACTGTTTGCCTACAGAAGATAGATTAAAATAAGTACTCTAGTTCTCTTATCAAGTGACGTCATCATAGTATATCTTTGTTATAACTAAGGGGTAGTTTAGGTATTAAAATCTCCAAAGCCTTTTAGGAGAAGTGTGACACGAGTTTAGTCCCACATCACTTGTGTATTGAAATTTTGGACGAATATATAGTAATATCACATTTGCAAGTAATGAGTCTCTTTCTTCTATATGTACGACCACTCCTTGCCCCACAACTAGTTGACCATCAATGAGATAGAAGGAGAGTGGTGTACACATACCCCCATCGGTCTTAGCCACTCGAGACCCTACTTGCAACTCCTAACTATGCTTCTGACCTGCTAGCGGGCCTGACTAGCCAACAAGTCTCCCATTTTTACTATATTATTATTTTTATTTTATTTTTTTCATTTATCTCAAAAATAAGATAATACAAATTATATAAATTTGTAAAAAATTACATAATTAGCTAAAAATTTACGTTAATCACCTGAAAACCACTTTTCACATGTTAACACAAATATAAGTCTATTTATCATGAGTTAAGACTAAAACTATATTATTTACTAATTATTAACTCATGATAATGAAGACTTATCACTGACCTTATGTCACGTGTGTAAATTTTTGAGCATACATTCATTAGAAAATCATGGTCACCATAAAAATTACTTAACTATGTTTCTCTTTTTCTTAATTATCATCTTATTTCTCTCTCCCTCTTTCATGAGACATACTTCTTTCTTTGTCTCTTGTGAGATCTCTCTCTCTCTCTCTCTCTCTCTCTCTCTCTCGATTAATCTTCCTCTCTTTTTTCTCCATCAATCGATCTCCCTCTCTCCTTTTCTCTTGTGAGATGTTTCTCTCTCCATCTCATGTGAGATCGATCTCCTTCTCTCCCTTTCTCTCACTTTCACAAAAAACCTCTTTTCTCTTTTGTGAAAGCTATCTCTTCTCTCACACTTTGCTCCTTTTCTTTACTCTCTTTCTTTTCTTCTTTTCACCTCACTATCTTAATTAATTATTTTTATTAAATATTAATAAAATATTAGAATTACTCTCTATATAAAACTAATTTAGTTTTTCATGACAAATTAATCAATCTTCATGTGTACAACCTAAGACTTACACTAATACTAATATTTTATTAAGTTTTAGTTATAAATTTTATTAGATGACATGTATTAAATACAATGACAAGTGCACATCATTTTTCTTCACATCTAGTACACTCTCAAGAGGAGGTGACTTGTCTCCTAGTATATCATCCTCTTCTTGACAATGACTAATTTATCAATCAATCAGAATCATTTACTTGATAGATTCACGATCTTTTTATCCATAATTATTTAATAGTTGGTAATGATACTCTAGAAATGCGTTGATGATATTTTCACTAATGATTAAGTGATTTTGACAGCTTAATCATTAATTGACACTCCACATAAAAATATAATTTAATCAGATAAAAATATTTTGGCTCTAGTAGAATTTAAATATTTGTCATTCATCTACCTATGTGATAGGAAGTCAACCAATTACAGTAGTACCTTTACCTAATGACATCATGGAGTCATTACCTTCTCATAAATCAAGGATACTATATGTATACAAATATATAAAATTTATCTCCAATAGTGACACAAATTCAGTCCCACATGACTTATTTCTAATAATTTGAGACATGTATATATTAATATGACTTTCCTTCATCAATATCATCATTTCACATGTATACGACCACTCATTACCCCATACTTGATTAACCACTAGTGACGTAGAAGGGAAGTGACACATATACTCAATCAATTATTGTTCCTTAGTCGCATAAGCCCTTTACTCGCAACTTTGCCTAACTATGCTTCTGACCCAGTTGCAAGCCTGGCTAGCTGGTGGGTGCCCCCTTTTTCTATTTTTTTATTTTTATTTTATCTCAAAAATATATTTATAAAAATCATATAAATTAACATAAAATTACATAATTAGTTAAAAATTTAAATTAACCAACTAAAACTACTTTTCAGAATTTGACATAAATATATATCTAGTTATCATGAGTTAAGACTTCTATATATATTATTAATCAATTATTAACTCATGATAATGAAGACTTATTAAATAATATATGTTAGTTTTGTGTTTCAAAAATAAGTTAGTTCTAATTAACAATAATTTATCTTTAATTTTTTATAATATAAATAGGATACAAATGTGCATTATCTCAAGAAATTCCTTCTAAAGAAATTAAGAAATCATCCATCAGAACCATAGAATTTTGTAATTCATTGATGAATTTACTTTGATTCTCTATCAACTAATAATGTGAAATCAAAAACATGGTTAAAGCTCAACTACTTGAAGTCTCGGCACAACAAACATGATATTCTTTCTACCACTATGCCAATATTAAGATGGATATTGATTAAATGCTATGAATTGAACCATTTCATAAAGAAAAAATGAGAAAATCAGCTCTTTTTTATCTAATGTTGAATCAACAACCTATGTAGAGAGTAAGAATTTTGGGACTTGAATATTGAAGTGATAAGGAGTATTAAATAAATAACTAAAAAATTTAAGCAAATTACCAAGTTATATTAAATACTATAAAAGAGTATAATATAATAGTGAAATAAAATAAATAAATAAATTATAATATATAATAAAATCACATTTTTTAAAAAAAGTTTCTTTTGTATTAACATTTTTTTGTCTGGTCAAAGTCCAATTATATTCTTTAATAGATTCTTAACTTATTATTTTGACCCTTTACTTTTTTTGTCAACAGTCAGAACTAGAAATGTCCAAAGAGCATTTCATTGGTCAAACTTGTAAAAGAAGGTAATAGACAATGTAAGAAATTTCCAACGGTATAGATAACGAGTTTGGTAAGTTTGTACAGACCGAGCGGAGTTGAATAGATGTGAATCCATAAAAGCAGAGCTGAATTATTAACCACCATGCAAAAGAAGATTTACACTGAGGGAGAGAGGGAGAGAGAGAGAGAGTTGAGGGAGCGAGGGAGAGAGATGAAAGCCACGGGGGGTCCTATTTCATGGGCTAGCATAATGAAAAACTGGTCCACTCTCTCTCACGCACACACACCTTAACCGACAACCAAAGAGAACCGCCGCTAGTAGCGGTAAAGTGGGGCCGCCGTTGATACCTTCGTCTCTCGATATACGGCGTTCTAGCCGAAACGCGGTGGGCCACGAGTAAGAAACAAGACGCCCGAGCCGCGGGGGCTTATGACGACGTTTAGCTGTCCCTCTCCAGTTAAACTTCAGTCATCATCCACAAAGTTCAAGACTTGCTCCCGAAAAAAGTATTCCTCTCCTCCGTGTACTCTCTCTCTCTCCCCCTCTACTCTCTCTCTCTCTCTCTCTCTCCGAACCCTGGCTCGCTCTAGCGGCGGCGACCCAGACCGGAAGTCAGATTCAGATCCAGATCGCTCCCACCTACCCACGTGACTCGGAAACGCTCCATCCAGATGCTCGGTCCTTTCCGTCCTCGTCCGTCGGGGTCGCCGTCGCCGTCGCCGTTCGCCCGTCCTACGTTCATTTAACGGCGAGCCGTAAAATCGTCTTTAGTTTTCTTATGGAAAAATCATATATTTAGTCTCATCCAGAAGTGAGCCACGTGCCGCCGTGGGAGAGGATGAGATAGCCGCGAGACGTGGAAATATCTTTCTCAGGGAATATTTCACTATACACACGCTAGCCCTATTTCCCCTTGAATTGCATATATGACCTACTTGTTTGAGTATCTCCAAGGTACCCTCTACGGATTTATACGTTTGATAGTAGTTATCAGAAAACTGATATTTTCATTTCATTCATAATTTTAGGATTTTTTTTATATTCATATCCTGAAATTATAATTTTAAGTTGAAAATTATACTTTAAGATACAATTTTATTATCAAATAATAATATCCTATTTTATGGACATGGGCCTCGTTAATGACTGAATATCCTATTAAAAAAGTGATATTATGAAAATAGTAATAAAAGTCGGGCCTCTAGATTTGGTAAGGACGAACCTTCCTTTGGAGGCTTAATTTAAAAGTTAAAATCTAACTGAATTGAACCGGGTGTGGGCATGCTTGGGCTTCTCGAGGTCGCCCACCCCTTTGCTGTCAACAGTAACACCTGGTTAGGGGGCCAGATGTGAAAATACATCGGCCCTTGGTTTGGGGTCCCCCGAGGGCGGGGGGGGGGGGTGTTGACCGGGGCACACTATGACTTGAGTTGGTCGGGTAAGTCCTAAGCTCTCTGAGTTTTCGCGCCGGCCCGGCTCAGAATTTACAGAACCCAGGCCCGGTCCCAGGGCCCGCTATTAGGCCGCTGTGGGTTGATTGCGAAAGATAGAATTTCTCTGAAGAGCGTTTGTATTTCACAAATACGGAAGAAACGCTCGACCAGGTAAGCACACTTTTTAGCAGGCAGAGAGAGAGAGAGAGAGAGAGAGAGAGAGAGAGAGAGAGGATCGTCCCGGTTCACAAAAAATAACTGTCGTCCGCAGAGAAATGAGGAGGTCCGAAAGGTAAATTTATTATTTCAACAACTCCCGTAAAGTTATTAAATAAAATCCCTTTATTTCACGAAATTGTATTTTTGAAAGATCATAGGGACATTCATACTATACATAAAAATACTAGGTATTTTTGATAATTTTGATTATATTCGCACTTCTGGATAATCAATGTGCACCGTCAGTCAGGCCTTTCTGTCGGCTTCCTCCTCCTGAGCAACCCCGTGGGCGCGGCTGCTAGAATAACGAACTTCTCCGCCCGCGGTGCCTTGACCACCGTCCATTGTCCTCTCCCCGGCTTCGTGGGGTGGGTGTCTCCTCCGTCCAGTCGACGCCTCTACAGGAAGAGGGGGCGCCGGTGCCGGCGATGGAAGGGGGCCATCGATCCCTCCTCACAGCCCCCCTGCTCGCCGAAGCGGAGCTCCGATCTGGGAGTGATGCGGATGCCGCGGCCGACGTTATCCTGGATATCAGAGATGCTGGCAGCCTCCGCGGCAACGAGCTGATGCAGGGATACTCCTCAGAGAGTGTCGAGGGCGACGTCGAGGTGGTCGTAACGGCGGGAGGAGAGGACAGCAATCCGTTCGACCTTCTCGGCGCCGTCCCGTTCCGGTATATTCGGCAGCCGTGCTCCCTCGATCCGTTCCGCAACCATACGCCTACTGTGGAGGGGGTTTACGAGTTTTCTAAGATAGTGCTTTGCCTGCCACTCGCCCTTGCTCGCCTCGTCCTCTTCGGGCTCTCCCTCGTGGTGGGGTTCTTGGCCACCAAACTGGCGTTGCAGGGCTGGAAGGACAAGCAGAGCCCCATGCCGAGGTGGAGATGCCGTATCATGTGGATCACCCGGCTCTGCGCCCGTTTGATCCTCTTCTCCTTTGGGTAAGGGGAAGAAATTCTGACTCATTGATCTTTGTTCTCGTTGTGATCATGTCTCATGGATTTAGTCCTCTCTTATGAACTAAAATACCAAATTTCTCTCTTGCTTCTTCTTTGGGCTAAATATAAACACGAAACCAAAAATTTGACGGACATCTTGCTGTTTCTTTCTTGTTCCGTGTTCTTCCCTTTAGTGACATCCGAACATAAATATGCCATCTGTTTTGAGCCTCCAACTTCTGTGACACTCTCTACCAGACAAGCTGTAAGTTTTTACATGAACAAACAGTGCATAAAAATGTTCTATGACTCGTGGAGGTGCTTGACGACTTGCCTTGGGTTTGATGGCCTTCCCATTTCAATGGACCAGAGTGGTCAGAGATCTGCAACATAAGCGTCTTAGTGCTTCAAGTTTGATGAGAAGGACAGTATTCAGAGTTAAATATCTTAATTACTTCATAATATGATGTTTTCTACTATGTGATTGTTGATATATACATGAGTGTTGTGTTACACGTTAGTGGAAGTAATAACAACTTTTGACTCATTGCTTGTCAATGATCTTATGGGTACAGACCTGTTTCATGCTTCAACATATACTAGTTTTAATCGTTTTGAGGCTCATCTGTAACAAATTCTAGGTACAGTAGTCGTCATCTAATTAATCAGCTCAGACACCAGACTGTTCATTGCCACCCATTCTATCTCACCCTAAATGGAACGACTCAACCAGTCGATCTGTGCCCTGACCCAAGACCCATGACCGCTTTTTTCCGCCCGTTTATTTTGGGCTAACAGTGTAGCTTGGATTCTGAGGTGCTCCTGGCCAATAAGCAGAATTCTTATTCATACATAAAAAATAAAATTTAATCGCATAATTCAGACTGACATTACAATAATGATTAGAATTGGTTAGTTTTCTAAACCTTGGTTGAGAGGAATATTCTCTTCTTTGACTGAGCAGCAGATTTATGTGGTGGGATAATGAAATTCATTTGTGATCATGTGTGGCTGTTGGCAAAATTACTGAGCGTTTCTATGAAGCTGGCCGTTTCTCCTTGTATTTCAATGTATTTCATAGTCAGAATAAACCAGCATTTTAAGCCGAAATGAATAATGACTTTACATGCGTTATGCACCTATTCTAAGTTCAATATTTAAATCGAATTTAGATGAATTGTTACATTGCCATCATCATCATCATCAGTCCCTATCCCATCCATTTGGCAGCAAATTAGATCTTTAAGTCAGAAATTCTCTGAGGTCAACTTTATCAATGCCGAAGCCTGGCAAAAGGATTTGGTAAGCATGAAGGAAGTACTCCCAGTTAAGAGATTGGGTGGGGCTTATGAGACTATGTGGTGACTTACTAATGTGGAGCTGGATGAACACTTCAATTGGCATGTGCATAGAGGAATATCAAAATGTGGGGCCTTACTTTCTGTGCAACACGTGTTATGATTCTTTTAACAGATTGCTCATTCGTTGATCTCCCTTTCTGTTTAATCTGTAGAGAAATGGGTTTTCTTTCTTCCCTACCTGAAGAATACCTGTGGTTACCCACACTCTACATCTTCTTTTATATCTTCACTGTTTTTTTTACTCAACACAATATAATTGGTGGTCCTTTATTACTGCAGTTTTTCTAGCTTTAGCTTCTCTGGTTTGATGCTCATTGATCATTTTTCTGAAGACAATAACCTGGTTTAAGCGGGGAAAGGGGAATTTACATGTGGGAGATGCACTAAAAACATGTTTTCCAAATCACTTCTCTTTCCTGAATGAGTTTATTTCGCTAGTTGTTACATATCTACGGATATCGCTTTATTTTTGGGATATTTCTATCTTAATTAACCCTTTTTCGTTGCCCAGTTGTAAAAGTGAGTTTGAGTGTTTTCCACTAATACTCGTGATGGAAATCCAGTCCTGCCATTTATTGGATGAATTTGACTGATTTTTTGATTGATTATCATGTGCCTGTGTCTTCTTGTCAGATATCATTGGATTAAACGGCGAGGAAGGCCCGCTTCCAGAGAGATTGCTCCAATTGTGGTGTCTAATCATATTTCCTATATAGAACCCATTTTTTTCTTTTTTGAGCTATTTCCAACTATTGTGGCCTCTGAGTCACATGACAGCATACCTTTTGTTGGAACAATTATCAGAGCTATGCAGGTATCAATTATGATCTCTCAGGCTGTAATTATTTTATCATTTCTTGCCAATAGCTATACTGATATTACGGTTTTGATCCACAAAGTCTTACATTGAATGCGATATTTCATGTTTTAGGTAATATATGTCGATAGATTCTCTGCACCATCGAGAAAAAATGCTGTTAACGAAATAAAGGTACTGATTTCTGGATTGATGTTAATTCTAGTAATTAATCCTCTCTGGTATGTCCAATTTTTATCTTGTAGTCGTACCAGATAAACTTTAAAATGAAACTTTGTTCACCTACCTACTTCAATTTACTTTTGCATCTGCCAATAGCTTGTGGAGAATATGGTCCATATAAAGATTTTACTTGTATAAGAATATCAGGACGCTGTTCTAATGATCATCTATCAAATTCTAAGTCTGGAGACTGAGGTTCTGTCCTTTATTTTTATATTAAATGCTATGTTTATTTTTGGCATCTGGGTTTGTGATACATACAGCTACAATGTTTCCTGCTAAAAAGTGGTATTGTCAAAATCAATGCCCTTTGTGATATTCCATGGTTGTTTAGAGGTTCAGGTTTGTCAAAAAAAATTATGCTTCCTTTCAAGCCAGCTACACATGAGTAAGTTTTTTGCTAGTGAAGCAATATCATTCATTTTATAGAAGATTAAAGAAATCTTTAGATTCTAGGGCTATGTGACTGGAACTTCTTCTCTTAACTTCGTGCACTTTTTTAAAGCTCAGTGTACTCTTTATATTAGTCGTATAAGTGGGGCCATGTGTTGTTAATTCAAAAAGCTCAGTGAAATATTAAAAACTGTATCTTAATCTTGCAACATTGTGGAGCCAAGGTGTATATTAAAGCTCAGTGTTGTTAATTCAAAAACTGGATCTACTGAAAATTTAGTAAATTGCAACATTGACCTGCTGCAATGCTGGAATTGTTGACCCCCGCAGCCACGCTGATCAGAAACTAGTATAAAAAAGGGATTTTAGTAAATTATTGGGTCACAAACGGGAAGGATATCTGCCCATCCTTGCTGAGATAAAATAAGAGTGACGGATAAAAGATAGCATAGAAAACAGGACAGGATAAAGAAAATAGTTAATAAAATAGACATCTGGTTCAAAGTTGACAACATCTGTCAATCATTTTGTGCAATCATATGTCACATTATCATTTAACATGATCATGTTAGTTGTGAAAAAAAATTAAGCAACTGATCTAAGCAAAGGAAGAGCAAGGAAACAAATCCAAGGTTTAGTTTTCATCACATTGTTTCAGTGACGGTTTGAAATGAACTTTAATCAACAAGTCGGTCACGCAAATTAAGTCAGATTTGTGATGATATTTTTGTTAATTTTGGAAATTGTGTTGATCTATGAGAAAAAGAGCATTTTACCTTGAGAAGAAGAGCATTAAATTGTGTTTTAGGTCGGATTATGTCAAAATAAGCTTTTAGCTCAGTACGAAGCACAACGGGATTGGTCATTTAGTGAATCCCCTGAGGCATTAGAAATATTTTTGCAAGACTTGGTCTTCCATTTGCTCAGTTTTTTATAACAATTTATCTTTCAATTAGATAATGCTAATGCCACCCCTTATTAGTTTTGTTTGTGACATTTGGTCCAAAAAGTCTTTTACGATGTGGTATGTGCAAGCTCTTTCTAGGTCTTGTTTACATAATTTCCGTATCTTTATGACAGGTAGCCTGACCTGCTATGATTTGCCTTCATTTCCATACTCTGGAACATAGTATGTGCATATTTTTAGAATTGAAAGGGGTGAATGTATTGTCAGGGCCATGTTTTTGCTTGACTGAATGTAATTGTGAGCCTTTTTGTCATTCTCCGTTTATTTTGTTATAAAAATTTGAAATCCATTTAGTTTCTGTCCATATATTCCCTATTTGATACAGAAACGTTGTTTTAAGGATCTAAATTCAGAGAAAGGCTTCGTCCAATGGGTTTCCTCGAGTCCTTCTGTTTCCAGAAGGTACTACTACAAATGGAAGGGCCATTATCTCATTCCAACTTGGTGCATTCATCCCGGGGTTTCCAGTGCAACCCGTAATTGTTCGTTATCCCTACATACATTTTGATCAGTCATGGTGAGTCTTTTTGTCTCCTGAAGTTTTATATGTTGTTTCATATGCTACATAAATTCGTGATTTAGTAACACCATTTTAATTCAGGGGATTTATTTCTCTGGCAAAGCTTATGTTCAGAATGTTTACCCAGTTTCACAATTTCCTGGAGGTACCGCCTTACTATTCTTTCATTTTTTGTTTTTGTTGTAATACTACTGGATTAATACATGTTAACGAGAATGTTACCTTTAGAAGGATGAGCCTTCATTTAGTTCCTGGTTTTCATGGTCTTGGGGAGACGTGCATTATATGCTCCATGCCATTTGCCTGATCATTTAGATCGTTCCTTTTTGGTAACGATATCACTTTGATTGGGTTTGATGTCTCTGTAAAGGTCGGTCAAATTGGTGCGGTATTGGTTTTCTGAAAACCGTCAAAATGAATCTATCGGTTGTTAGCTTAACTGACTGCGCCGGCTCAGCTCTTACTCATGTGATTTTACAGATAAGATTTTTTATGGAATAGATTTCCTTTCAAAAACTTCATTGTTTCTAGTCTTCTGATATTGATACCTATGGAGGATTGGAATATTGGAAAATTAATAATCTCATATGATTGAAGTATATCCATGGTCAGCTGATACCGTCTTCTTTGTTTATATTAATTATATGCAGATATTATTTTCCATGTGGTTGATGACATTCATAGAAGAAGGGATAAATGTGGCCTTTCATATGATCATGGAAGATTCATGCTCAAATCATAAAATTATTATGTTCATATTAGATGCATGCATGTCATGGTGGGTATTACTCTCCACTTGGTCCGTGTCATTCATTTAGGAGAAGGGCTAATGATGCCCTTTCTAGCTGTTGTAAACAAAATGGGGAACACTACACTCAATGATTTCTTTTGTCAACTATCCTTGAGTTGATAGAAATTGGAGATATGGTATAATGTATTTCTTTCCGTTCTGATCTAAATTCTTGAAAATTTCTTTCCTGTTAGCTCATTAATTTTTCTAGAACTGTGGATTAAAACCATGATTCATTAAAATAATATCACTCATTGTACGCTCGTCATATTAATTGCATGCATTTAATGGTAGATATTACTTTCCATATGGACGGTGTCATTCATATAAGAAGAAGGGTTAATGGTCCCTTTCTAGCTGTAGTAAGCAAAATGCGAAACATTACACAATGAATTTTTTTGTCAACTTTTAGTAGATTGAAATTGGGGCTACGGTAAAACGCATTTCTTCCACTCTAATCTAAATTATTGAAAACAGCTTGTCTGTTAGCTCATTAATTTTATTAGTACTGTGGATTAAAACCATGATTTAAATAAAATCACTCATTTTATACTGTTTCTTTCAATTCAACATTATTGAACTTTCATCAGTTTTTTTTCCTTATTCAAAATTATTCAGAATTATACTGTGGATTAGTCGTTATATTTTTTATGTTTACAATAACCTGAGAGCATCAGGATGCTCTCAGTAGCGTTACTTGTTCATTTGCAGCTTGTAGGAAATGATGTGCTTTTAGTAACTCTGTGCCTGAGCACTTTCAGGTTATTTTGATAGTAAAAGAAAATATCAACTTTTCTATCTACTTTGTGCTATGTGCATATGTATCTTAATTGACTCTGACATTATTCTAAAAAAAGTTTCAACTTTTCTACCTGATTTTGTCTGTTTGGATATGCATTCTATGTGATTGGTCTCTGAAATCTTCATTCCACAGGTGGAATACCTCCCCGTCATTTTCCCATCAGAAAAAAAACTTGAAACTGCCTCAGAATTTGCGGAAAGGGTAAGTAGAATTCCCAAAATGCCTATAGATCATTGATGGTGCAATGGAGAGTTGATAATGTATTTCTTTCTCACATGTTTCATAAAAACTAATAGATGATGCATTTGTTTCCATAACATGCCCATCATTAAAGGAATCGAATCAAGTGTAATGTGTTTATTTCCTCTCCATCTTTACAGACAAATAGTTATTTTGATAAGAAGCGATGAAATACTTATGAATAGTTGATTGTTTATTATTTATTGTGATTTGATTTTTTTATAATGTATATTGTATTATAATTTTATTATTAATTTATTTTTACGTGTATGCTTATTTTTTTATGTTTTAGAAATTTGTGTATATGCATACTTTGGTAATTTTAAAATGTCTAATTTTCGTAAAAATATTTCTCATATATTCAAAAAAACCTCTGAAGTTATCCCACTTTTGGCGGTGGGCCAAGAATAGTACGAGCTATAAGGTATATTGGCTAAGGTTTTATGATTACCTTTGACTAGAAAGATCGTTTTCCCCATAACTATTCAATGTCCTCATGAAAATCATCACGTGGCCCAACCACCCCTCTACTGAATAAGGAATAATTTCATTTTTGTAACTCTTTTTAAGTGAGGGAACTCTTTCCATCTTGTGAATTATTGTCACGAGAAAATCAGGGTGGTAAAGAATGTCATGAATAACCCTGTCAGGGTTTGTGCAGGCTAGCCATATTATTGCCACTGCACTTGATGTTGTGCAGACGTCGCATTCATATGGGGATGTAATGCTTCTCACAAAAGCTTCAGAACATTCGAAAGTGAGCATTTCCTCTTTCCATTCTTTGTCACAATCACATATTTTCCTGATACAGATTATTTTATTTTTAATTAATGAAACCACAAGCGTAATTTATCAATGCATGCAACAAAAACATGAATATTGGGGGTTCTTTTCTGCTTGGAGCTCACATGCTTAGCATCGGTTGGTGCTATTTCTGAACATGTAGCTAGGTTGCCTTAGCCAAAAGTTGGATCCCTTGTTTCCTCCCTGTTGTGTATTACTCATTCTATATTTTGCCTAAGCCTAAGATTGGACTCTTTGAACTGGATTTTATGTTTCGTTTTGTCCTCTTCCAGAATTCTAATCGAAACAGAAGTCAAATTGAACGGAAGAATATACATTGGACTGACCTTTTCCTTCAGCTTGGTAGATTTATTCAAGATTGGATTGGGCTTAAGTGATAAGTGTGGCCAACCTGATTTAACAGACCATGATAACAGTGGTTATCATATCGAGTAGATGAAAGAAGCAAGTTTTTAATGTTTTGGCTGTAAATCATGTTACACACCATTGTCATGTTATGAGTGAAGCTCCTATTTTGATATGGTCAGCATCTCTTGTTAGGTCCTTTCCTACTCCATTTGGGCTGCTTACTGGGCCTGAGCAAGAACCACACCCAAACACGTTTTGGAATTATTTACCACCATAAAAGGAAGAATGATGTAAGGGAGACTGAGGGCAAGTGGGCCCGTGGCCCACTTACAAGGACCCCTGGGCCCCTACTGTGGGGGCACTTTTGGAAGAAGTCAGCAGGAGAGTGTGTTACTCTCGAGTTCGTCCTCAACAGGGACCAACAACAACAGAACAATGATATCGACAAAGGAATATAACCAAGAGAAACAGAACAGAAAGGGGTTTCCGGAGGAAACCTTAGAGCAGGGGGACGAGTTCGAGAGCACCCCTCTCCTACTGACTTCTTCCAAAAGTGCCCCAAAGTGGGGGTCTCACGGGACCTTATACCCTTTATAAGTGGGCCACGGGCCAACTTGCCCTCAGTCCTCCCTTACATCATTCTTTCTTTTACGGTGGTAACTAATTCCAAAACGGGTTTGGGTCGTTGGTCCTTGCTCAGGCCCAATAAGTGACCCAAATGGAGAACTAGGAAAGAGCCTAACCATAAACCCCCATCTGTTCCACCTTGTCCTAAAGTGGAAGGCAGGGTAATGGAGCTGGAGGGCAGAAACCAGTTCCCAAGTGGCTTCAAAGTCGGGTAGCTGTTGCCACTTGATGAGGATCTCTTATCAATCCGAACCTTGGCATCTTTAGACCTATCTGATTTGTCATAATTTGAAAGTCTAGTCTTGAGCAATACACCATTTGCTACAAGGTCTACATTCTCCTGATGACAGCTTGGAGTCCCAGGAGACTCCCCTTCATTGTGAATCGTCTCTCAGAAGCTTTCAATAGCGAGAGATGCAAAAGCCCTGTCAGTTGCTAGCACAAGCTCTTTAGGCCACACTGCCTTTTCATCATCCCTTTGGGATTCCATTATCAAGGTGATCGAATTCTCCAAGGCCGTCTGGACGCTCGTTCCCGTGCAGCCCACAGCAATAGAAATTGATGAACCTCCAACACGACGTGGAGAAAATTCAGAAACTTGTTGACCCTTACTCTCGCATCTTTGATAGTCTTGAGATGTTTCTGGCTCCAAAACATGAAGGTATGAGCTAGATACGACAATGAAACAAGGTTGTCACTCATCCATACTGTTGTCAATTCCTATCCAACCATCAATTCTCTCATTTTTTGAAAGATGTTGATTTTAGCCCTGCTGAAAATCTTTCTCCACTCAATAAAACGAGCTGCCAGCTCAGCTCTTACACAAAAAAGGCGCACTCCTAGTATACTCACTTGAATTGTCCATTTCACTGGCACATGGTCAAATGGTTCCTGAATCCTGCTTGGTCTTTTGGTGAATTCAAGTTTGTAACGAGTCCTTTTCCGCATCATAAACCCCTGCTCTAGGTGAATTCTCTTGTTAGCACACCAGTTGATTGGATTTTCTGAAATTTCGTTCATCATGTTAAAGGTTCCACAAAGGGGTGAAGGGTGACCATCCAAATCACCATAGTGACGAAGAAATAATACTAGAGCTTCTGGAGGAAATAATTCTAGCTGCCAGAGGAAAGGATAAAGAAAGGACAAAAAGGAAAGCCTTTTGGCTGCTAGCGGAAAGGATAAATAATTCTGGCTGCAATGAGGCTCAAGATGATGCTACTACTAATTTGGTTGCTGTTACTTTTCTGACGAGGAATACATATTCCCCTCTTGATGACGGTATTGATACACAGATGACAATCTGTATGTCCAAGTGAGTCATATTCTGCAATAGACCCATTTTAGTTGCATTAATGGAATTTAACCCCAACCTGAGTTTGGTGGATTTGGGAACCAGTATTGGAGCAGAAATCAATGTTTCGAATCCTGAACTTTACCAGGGAATGGAAAGCCCTGAAAATGGTGGATTTAGTGTTGATAAGGATCTCTGGGCCATGGCAAGAAGAGTGGTATTTAATCTTATCACGGACATCAGTAGTGTTTCAGTTTATCTTAACAATAAGGATGGCTTGCTGCTGGAGCAGCATTAACACAGGCCCAATCCTGTATGAAGACCAAGTCTACCAACACCAAACGGAAGTCCAACCAGGAGCAGTGTAGAGACTCTCCAAGGCACCACCGGAATGGAGGTCCTGATCAAATGGAAGGGTCTACCTGACTTTGAAGCTACTTGAGAAGCAGCATCAACCATCCATCACCAGTTTCCTGACTTCCATCTTGTGGACAAGGTGGAACAAATAGGTGTGGGGGAGGAGGGGGGTTTGTTAGGTCCGTAACTGTTGGGCCCAATACCAGGCCCAATGTCCGAGTTACTTAAGCCTGGAGAGGGAAGGTTAAAATGTAGATGGGTCAAAGGAAGCTGGGCCAAGGGGCCATGAAGGAGAATGGGTATAAGGACCCTTAAGGATCCTCACTATGGGGCACTTTTGGAAGAAGTCAGTGGGAAAGTGGGGCGCTCTCAAACTCATCCCCAACTGTTTTAGAGTTTCCTCCGGTAACCCTTGTTCTGTTCTTTCCTATTTTCTGTCTCGGTGGAGTTATTTTCGCCTGTTCCTTTCAGTTAGTTTCCCTGGTTGCTACCCTTGCTTCTACCCTTGTTTTGGTCCCTGTTTTAGGACCCTAAGATCTCTCTTTCATCTTGCCGAGCTAGTCAACATTATTTTTATTGAAAAGATGGAGCAGTTGATGGATCGGAGGCAGTGAAGGTTAGGGGAATGTAGTGACTTTCCTCCTGTGAAAAGTGCTCTTTGTAAGGAACATAAATTATTGGAGCTCCACTGAGGGGTTCCTGGGGTATTGTGGAACTTAGGCTCAGTTTAAACCATAAGTGGGATACCTTGGTCCCTAGGCAAGGTACATTAAGCTGAACCCAGACTGGTGGATGTGGGCTTGATGATGATGTTAGTGATGGTGAAGTTGGCAAGTTTGTCTCTGAGGGGTTCCAGTCCCATGTTTTCCAGAAAGTCATATGTCTTGCCAAAACTAGTGAGGTGTAAAACTACAAGTTTTCATTTATAAAGGTTGGACTTGCAATACTATTATAAACTTTTATTTGTTAATATTATCATTCTTGTTGGCATTTGGGGAACTTTATGCCATAGAAAAGTATTGATTTTTCTTGATCATGCTTTCAATGCTATGCCTAATTCCTATGGTAATTCAGTTACAGATATTCTTGATATAAACACTAATATAAGTAAGACCTGTATCCAAGGCTGCCTAAGAAAATATATATTTTTGGTCTTGGAAGGCTTGAAATTAAGCTAACTTGGCCAATACCTTTATCCTCATTATTTCATGAGTTCATCCTTAAATAAAGTTCACATTGAAGGAAATGCCACTCCTATTGACTTTCCTGTTTACTAATCTATTTGTTGTTCTTCAATTTTCTGTCCAGGAAAAACCCTCTGCTTACATGGTAGAGATGGCGTGGGTTGAGAGTGTAAGTCCAACTTTAAGTAATGCACGCTTGCTTTTGGTAGAAAGTCTAAACTGTCTCGATTGCCACTACTTGATGCACTTTCCTAGCTGTGCTGCTTCTTTCAGCTCCCCTGAATCAATGTGATTAAGCAAATAATGAAGTTTGTTTCTTCAACCTTCATGAAATTATTTCATGCACATAATTCTCTAATTATATGAAGTTGTATATCTGTTTTTGGTGGATAAGTTTTACCTGTGTTACCGGTTTCACTTTATGGAAAATCCCAGCAAAGATTTTGAGATGATATGTTTATTGTAATTTCTATCAAAAAACTTTCAATCGCCAAACAGGATCACCTATGAACAGTATGGATCGAGCTTAATAGGTCATTTAACTTATTTGACCCTGAAATCATAACAAGTTGCAATGATCCAATAGTACACAACTTCCGACTGCTAATCCTTTCGATGCATCAATCTCCATCCCCAATTCAATTGTTAATTGTTTTTTGGTCTAAACAATAGAGATACTAGAACCCACTGAATGCTGCGTCTCATGTTGAGGTATATGTGGATTTTTATTTGAAATTCTACCTCACTTTTGAATTTTTTTGGGGTATTTATTTTAGAAGGCAATTTTGTAGAGGATAGTCCCAGAAGTATGCAATCCTTATGTTCGGAAAGGAATTACTTTCAGGACCAACGGCCGACGTTCATGTTTGTTCATCTGTGTCATAAAGACCTCAATCTGCCATGTGAAAATTTTGTGCTCTTTCAAGGAACTCAATGTAAATATTCATAATTGTTTTTATATCTGTGAGCTTGAATGAGTGGCTTTATTACTTCATGCGACTATAAAACCCCTCAACTACTTTCACATCAGTTTATCTACCGACATAATTGTTTCATCATTTGTCATCATTCATTTCCAATGATGTACAGTTCTGAAAAATCCCAAAAGGATGTGTCATTAGCGGCTCTTGGAGGTTTTAATACGGAATTCTTAGGACTATTTTTGAGACTGGATATTCTTCTAATTATAGATCGTTTCTAGTAATGTATCTGTAAAATATGTTATATGGTTTTCAATATTAGCTTGTATTAATGAGCCTCTCTAGTTTAGTTTTCTGGAAATTAAAGAAATGTTGCTGCACTTTTGGTTTCATTATTCAATAAATCTTTTATATCTATTTTATTTAGTTTTTGATTATTCCTGGAATTTCTGTCGATCTAATGTAACCATCTTTTGTAGTTAGTGAATGTCACTACATCAGAAGCTTTGGAATTCTTGGATAAGTTCCTTGACATGAACCCAGATTCCAAGTAATATTCAGTTTTCTAGAAAATTTGATTTACTTCCTTCTGCATATATTTTCATCTTCGATTTGTTCAATTAGATCTATCTAATTTAGATGAATATTTACCTTTTTTATTTAAACTCTTGATGTGAATTTATGTTCGTTAATGTGAATTTTTTATATTTACTTCATCTTATATTTTTTTTTATTGATTTATATTTCATAATCAAAATAAAACTTCAAAATATCCCTAATGCTTAGTAAGATAAGTGATAATATGTTGTGCCATAAACAACAGAAAAGTTGTTTGTGTACACACTATATGGTCGATGGATCCCAAATTCTGAAACCCTGAATCAAATAACTTTGGCTCCAAAAGTAGAGAAATCATTCAGATATGATCTTTCGACAATTTTTTGTTCACCTAGAACCTCCAAGGGTCTGAAAATGCGGTCTTAGGCTTCTACCTTTCTTGTCTATGCTAATATGTACTCCCTCCTTGATATGGCTCACTGTTACTCCCTTCAGTTTCTCATGTTCTCTGTCCCAGCTACTCCTCTTTTATGAGGTCCTCCATTCGTTGACGTTAATTTAGTTATGGTTATACTTTCTGCTGCTAGCTGTTATGCCACACTCCTTTGGGAGATTTCTTGCTTCAAACAAAAGCATCATTTCTACAACCTGCTGCTTTTGCTCCTCGCCATTAAGCTTTGGTCAGATTACGGTTACCGTTATCTTTACATAAGCACATGCGACTGTCAACACTTTCTTTTTATTACTTTTGTGACAGTGACTCACATTCTTGGAACCTGAAGGATCTGCATTAAGTTTAGCCACATGCGCTTGCATCCTATGGCAATATTAGTGTTTCTCTTCTGTAACGGTGTATCTTTGATCAAAGAACTTTTATCATTTCGTTATTCGATCAGTCAAGCATGAGATAGGATTCCTTGTTATGAAGCTCACAGCTCTGTCTCCATCTTTCAAACAGTTGTGCCACCTAATCCTTTCTTCTATCGTGTTTACAGTATTCCACTTCCAAAAATACATAGCTGGATTCCTCATCCATCAAATCTCTTTGGGACAATATTGTTCTCAGGCCGATTTTCTCAACTAAGTGGGCCGTTCAGACACAATCCGGTGCTTTTACTTTTTTTTTTTTATGTTCACTGGGATTGGGAGGTGGAGTAAAGGTCGAAATCAGCTGATTTCGCACACTATGCATGTAACTAATGTTCTAGCCGCATGTGTTTTCCAATTTTTTTTTTCTCATTAAGAATGCTCAAGTGTTGATTAATCTCAGTGATGAGTTGGCAGCACATCCATCTTTACAGTTTTGCAAGATAGTCACTTCCAGATGGTCATGAATTAGTTTTTCTTTTGAATTCTGGCTTTTCATTGAAGTCGACTTGATTATGATTCAAACTGGTGCGAAATAGTTGCTATTTGCATTCTTTATGTGACATCTGGGAGATTTTACTCTATAATAACCGAGCTATTTATGCTGTGTCACTATTTCAGTGGTCGGGTCGATTTTCATGACTTTCTAACATCTATGCACTTGGGTCCTTCTAGTCCACTCTCCGAGAAGGTCAGTGTTCATTTTTGCATCCTCCGTTCTTCTTTGCAATATCTCTTTCCTTTGATTTTTCAGGGCTTGCTGAACATTAAGCTGGAGAATAGGTTGAAAGAAAAAAAAAAGAAAAAAAGAAAGTTATGCACCTATCTATGTCTGTTTTCTGGTAATTATTTGGGCTCCATCATGTTTCCAAGTCGGGCAGCCTCAGTTGCATTTTAAACCCCGGTTTAGGTTTCCTTTTCACCTCAATCAAAAACTGTGTAGACCCCGCCGAAGATTCACATGATGAGAAGAGGAACTGATGAGATTCGCTCTATGAACTGAGGTAACCGCCAAGTTTGTTCAAAAGTTTCTCAGACTTGAGCTTTCCTGTCAGTTCAAAAGGCTTCTGACAGTAGCAACTCATATCGACCATTTGTATGGCTTTGGATGGTGATTCTCTGGCCGAATGCTTGCTTAGATCACTGTAGATACTGATATAGTTGTGGTCATGGAAGTATTTTAGGAAAATGGCACGGCACAGTTGTTTTTAATCGCTTGGCTTTCCCCTTGACGAGTAACTGTGTGCACTATCATATTCATGCAGACCTTTTTCATGTTTAGATTCTTTCTGCAATTATTTTATCGAATAGGGTATTGATTTATAATTTTTCACTGACGTACCATAGTGATGTGACGCCGTGCATTTCATTATGAAGGTTTTTCGATTCGTCGATGTGGAGAACAAAGGATTTATAACCTTTCGACAGGTAGGAAGAGAGAACCAGTATCTTCAATAATCTCAAATTCTCGTTCCATTGAAGAACATAGTTATTGTGGACTGCATTTCTCCAAAACGTCAATTTACTTTGAGGTCTTGAACTATATCAACAATGATTTTTCCTTAGAATTTGGATACTTTATTGATCCACTTGTTTCCCCAATTAAGTGATTTCCACTTGCTATTCCGGTGTAAAGTAGAGAAAATACTGTCCTTATAAAAGAAGCCTGATTTCCCAGAGGAGATGGCCTGCTTACTATATTTTAATTGGGATGACCCGAACCGATGCAGTTTTTGCTGGGCTCCGGCAGCATATTAAAGCAGGCGTCATTTCAGCAGACGTGTGGGGAAATCTTCAGTGAATGCAGCAGTGGGGATCTTCTGTCGAGAGAGAAGGTAATTTCTTCCTTGTCTGTTCTACGTGTGGGGGCATGAGGTGTTTGAGGCTCTGACCCGTCTGGCCTCTGCAGCTGGGGGAGGTCGTTGGATCCGCAATCCCTGGAATCTCCTCGGAAACTGTAAGCTCTTGAGCACTAATCTTTACTCAATGATGGCCGCTAGGCTTCTTGACTGTCCTCTCCTGGTTGCAGCTTCGTGAGCTCTTCAGGTCATTTGATGTCGACAAAGATGGGGTGGTCTCTAGGAGAGACTTCATGGAGTTCTTGCAGAAGAACCCACTGATGATCGCCGTCTTTCTGGTCAGCAAGAGGCCTCATGACTCAATGGACGTTTATTACTGAATGATATATCTCACGTTGACTATGGGATTCTTTTTCCCATCTCCGGCTCAAGCTTGCCCGTGTGCTTTTGATAAATGGGATGTGAAGAAACTTCTGGGAGAGGGATTCTAAGGAAAACGGCGTGGAGTCGGAAATGGTTTTTCAAATTTGTACTTGTAAATGTCGATTTTTAGACCCAACATTCTTTGAAAGATTGTGTGATGCAAGCTGAAGTCGATTACCCCTGCGGAGAAATTGTCTCTGTAACCATTATTATTATTATTAATAAAAAGGCTTTCATCCATTGTGGAGATTTAGATTTATGGCGTGGCCCGAGACATCGTCACTTGGATCCTCAGATTTCAGATTGTGAACTTTTTGCTTACTGTGAAAGAGAGAGAGAGAGAGAGAGATTATGGCATTTCTTACTGTGAAAGAGAAAGTCATGAAACATGTCCCGTAGCAAGGCTTCTTTCCCAAATATTTTCTAAATGAAGTTGTCTTTTTCAGAAACTAAAAGTATCTTCCTTCCCAAATATTTTTTACATGCACACGCTTGAGATTATTGCCAATAAAGTGTATTCTTCCTGAAAGGCAGATTTAATCGCTTAAATGATCACACAAGAGACTATTATCTACAATCTTCTGGCTCACTCATGTCGCCCTGAAGCTGGGAATCAGCGTCTGTAAGGTAAGCCAAGGTAGGCATTGTGAGGAACTAGATGCCTACACATGGGACATGCACCCTCCCCCCCCCGCTGTCGTATCTGTACATTAAAAAAGAAACAAAGCTTCTGGTCGCAGTACCCAGAACCAGACCTCCCGCCTCCAGTGAAGCCCACATACAGTAAACCTTGGAAGAGTAGCTTCTTCTTCATCACAGCTGGATTGCTCGGCTCGTTGCTATTTGAGGTCACGATATGGTCAGCTTCCAATAGCAACTGCTGTCGATTATCACTGCTGGACGGGGACGTCCATCCAACGACCCACAGCTTCCAATCCTTCAGCTGCTGCAATCAGGAATGTCCAGCACGTTGTAGTATAAACACGAGGACGTCCCGTCGAACTCCGAGCTCAAATGGTGGGCTGAAAGCCCGCAGTAGCGCTTGGAGAGACGTTTGATGCAGATATCAATGATCTTCCTGAACAACTGGTCCCCCCGAACGGTCGGCTGCTCGACGAAGTCAACGAGGGGCATCCACTGGAGATAGGACAACACAGTTAGGGAGCAGACATCCCATAGAAGAGATAGGACAACACTCTTTTCTTTTTTTTTTTCTCTACGAACCAGCCCAACGAGGAGCAACCACTGGAGCGGGAGGGGAAAAGGGAAGCTTTCAGTTTCTAATTTTTATAGATTGACCAACCATCTGAGAAACCAAGTCCACCCAGATGTGGGTGGGTCTTCTCTACTAATAACACATCTTTGAAGTAGGAGGCCAACCACAGGAGAGTGAGGGAAGAGGGCATCAGATGTTGTTATTGATAAATCCTTTGCAAAACATTTCACGTCTGGGTTTTCTGAAAAAGTCAACCACGATCACAAAGGAAACTCTTTGTGCCACAGATATTTTACCCAATAATTTCAGCAAATCAGTCCCCAATGTGAGGAGATATGTTCCAGATGAAATTTTCTAGGTTAGCCTTCCCGAAGATTTTGTCAACGTTCTACTACCAGGAGGAGGTGAATTCTGGCTGCTCAATTTCCACAGAAACATTTCTTCTTCTCATCATTAGTAAAACATGAAGGAAAGCCACAGCGTCAGGGATCATGGCTCACCTTGGCTGCTTGGATTTCGAGATCATCTATTTGAATTGTTGTCGTCAAAGGTCTCAGCATGCAGATGAAGAACAGATCGGACTTTTCAAATGCCACGCGATGAGCATGCCTGAGAAGGGAAGTACACAGAATAAATGCCACTGATGCGATCGCGCAGTCAAGAGATTTAAAATTTGTTCTTGGCACCGGGTCGAACAACACATTAAATCATGAAGATCCAGATGGTTGATTCAGCAATTTTATGCATCATTATATTCTAATATAAACACTGGGAAATGAGGGGGAAAAAAAGGTTCTTACCGGAAGGCAACTACCTCCTCAAATTCTGTATCAATCTGCATATTCATCAGGAATCATTGATTAAATACAGTTCGATCACTTCTTCCATCCTTTTAAGGGAACAGCCAAGTACTAATAAAGAATAAATAGTGTGATGGATTGGCAACTTACACCAGTTTCCTCCTTAACTTCTCTCACAGCTCCCTCGAAAATTTCCTCGGCCTGACAAGCCAAGAAAAGAAAAAAACTCGATTTTAGAGAAGAATAGTATATTTTCTAGTTTCAAAATTGATAAAGGAATAAATACCTCGAGAATGAAGCCAGTGGGCAACTTCCAGAAACCAGAAAATGCAGGCGCACAATGTTTTTCTTGAACCACGAGAACCTGCAGAAGATGAAAATTTTGATGAAAAAAAACAAAGCAAACACTCGTGATTTAATGATGGACAGAAATAGTATTAATTGAAAATTTTATATTATATCACTAGTTAGCGATGGAAATTTATTTTTTTTAAAAACACTTGTGATTCAATGATGGACAACAGTAAATAATCACTGGAATATTTAAACTGATCGTAAATATAGCCTTTCCTTGATCAACGTTACCTCATTTTTGTTATTTATCACAAATCCTCCGACTCCAACTTGGTGAGAAGCGTTCCCAGGAAGCATACTGGGGCCTTCAGAAATCCAGTAGGCTAGCATTACATAGTCTTCCTCTGCATGATGATACTTGAACCCTTCCTGGATCACAACACGAGCGTCTGAGTAAAACATTCTCATGCCGTATACACAATATAGCGTGCTGTCCATAACCTAATGAGTCAGTTTTTAAAATATTATGAGCCAAAATGACCCACTTTCGGATCTAAATTATGATCTGGCTCATATTAAAAGGGAGAGGTCATGACGTGGACCACAGATGCTGGGTGTTCAGATGATTCCCACCTTCACAGCAATAGGCACGAGATCAGAGAGCTCAAGTGGCAGCTTGAGCCAAACTCCTTTCTTCCCCTGGATCAAGACACAAGAAGAAGTTTCGATCAGGATACAGTGAGTGACACGAATAGTGACTAGTTCGGTTCATAATTTATGAACAAGCTCGACCCAGCACCCACTTTGCAATAAAACCTTCAAAATATCCACATAGTCCCCTAGGTAAAAACATATGAACTGCGTTATTATTGCAGACTTGACACATATTTAAAGAATATGTCACTCCATTTAAATGATCATCGAATTAGAATCAAAAGGAATAATGCGGGCTTCAGTCTATCTAAGAATACCTTCAATCTCCAGTGAAACAGGGAGGTCTGCAGAGCAGAGGCAAAGATGCTTGGATTATGTGGTAATCTCTCTGAATCAATGATGACCCCGTCGTATTCGTCGTCTGCAGCATCCAGCACGTAGCTTTTTCTTGTGTATGGCCTTTTATATGCTTTATTGAGTCCAAAACCTCTGGACAAGTCGTTTGGCAGGAACTTCTTCTGGCTCTCTAGCTCAATTCCTTTTCTGGAAATTCTAGCAGATGAGCAGGATATATCTGGCAAGATGACCTGGGTCAGTGAGACACAAGGCTCGAGAGCCGTAGAAGAACATCAACTAGAAGGAACTCCTGTGAACTCCATAATTTAATGGATTAATGAGTTTGAAGCACCGGAGTACAGATCGTACAGATTAGACTAAAGAGTAGAGCTTGAAGACCCGAGTAAGAATCACACAGTTTTCGGCAATGGCTGGATGATTCGAACTCTGAGAAACTGGATAAGGATTTATCCCGCTTTCCGTAAATTTTTACCATGAAGCCCCCTTCAATTCAGACAACCTTGAGAGAGAGAGAGAGAGAGAGAGAGAGAGAGAGAGAGAGAGCTTCTACCCCTGGCTGGCAAAGAACATTGCTTTCCCGAGATTCTTCGGCAGCACCTCCGCCCCACAAATGGGGAGGAGAGGCTTCTCTCCAAGGATAAAACATTCGACTTCACCATCCCGCTTGAACGACCCCTCACGCAGCTACAAACTCTGCCAGAAGATGGTCCATTTATATTCTCATAACCCACACGGCCGCCCAGAAACCCCGACAAAAACATGGAAACCCGATGCAAATCATGCCAAGTCCTTCACTCCACCGGCGACTAACAGTGACGAGAGAGAGGACCACCGGCCGCGTAGGAACCCGCCAATGTCCCTCTGACGTGAGCTTCAGCCCCTCCACAGTGGGGGAGGATATTAACATGCAGTCGAATACACCTCCGTACCGGGGATTAGGGAGGCGATCTCTGTGCCCAATCCACAGCGCACACGCGGACAATAATAGGCTATGGCCGGCGGGGCTCTCTGACGCGGACTCCATTCCTCGTGCTTGAATTCCGTCTCTTTCTCCACAGAGCCTTCCCCGCCCACGGTACTACATTTAAAATAGCGGAGGATAGGGAGTGGGTATCGATCGGGCTGGGAGTTGGGCTCAAAATTGAAATTCATCGGAGAGAGGGAGGTCTCCAAGGCGTCGCTATTGGGGAGCTGATTGATTAATGGTTGCCGTGCACTGAGAAAAAAAAGATGGGGGGAAGCAATTGGGGATAAATAAACATCAAGAGAGGAGAGCTGGGAGCTAAAGATTCATCGCGCTGGCCGGAGGATGTCCCCGTCCGGAGACGATATTTTTCGGGTCTACGCAGCGCACGTGATTCACGACGCGGCCATGGTCTTGGTGGGCTCTCAGGGGGGGGGGGGGGGGCTTTTACACGGCTGAGGATTGAAGAGAGACCGGGGGTCATCCGACAGGGAATTCCGCCCCCCGGCAGAGATCGGACAGGGAGGTTGAGTCAGCTCTCGTTCCAGCCCATTTGGATAAGAGCTCGTTCCAGGGGCCCCGTCGGTTCTTTTAACTCCTTTTAAAGATTTGTTTTTTCTAATCACCAATCAATCAATCAATCAATCAATCAATCAATCATTGGGATCGGTGGCCGTCCTGTCGATTGATGATAAGAATCTAACCCCAAATTAGTTACTCAATATGTAAACTTCTGAGCAGGAAAATAAAAATCTCTGAACCTATTTTTATCATCCTATCTCATAGTTGCCCATTTTTTAATATAATGATGGAGAGAGAGCTCATGGAGAGATAGAGAGAGAGAGAGAGAGAGAGAGAGGAGGGTACACATGAGGTTAGCATAGAACACCTATATGACAAAGAAGATGGAAACCCTGAATTTCTAAAAATAAAGTCAGGGTTGCTCATGAACAGACCAACCTGTGCATGTTCGTCAATAAATACCCAGATAAACATACATCTTAAACGAAAAGAGGAAAATTACCACAAAAAGTAAATAGCAATCTTATATATTGATCGATTTCTTCAGTTGAGAAATATGGTCATATTTTTTAATGATGATAAATAAGACCAAGACTGGATTTACAGGCATACATTTAATAAATAGTGAAGGAAGGGGGGAGGAGGGGGTTAAAGCTCGGAGAGCTCAGCTATGCTCGGGGGACGGCCGGACATACGGCTCGAATAGCCGAACCGAAGGGTTGGGATCGTACTGCATGATCTCAGCAGCCCGCTCGAACTCCTCCCTCAGGATTTTAATGGTGAACTTGTCGACCACACGCCCGAGATCGTGGGAGAGTTCAAAAGGGTCCTCTATACAGATCAAGTGCCGGTCGTTCCCTATCCGCCTCGTCCAGTCCTTGGATTGCTTGCTGCAGGAAGAGAGAGAGAGAGAGAGATGGAATAAATAAGTGAAAGAAATTAAGCATTCAAGGAAGGTAGAAGAACGACCAAGATCCACGTCTGACCTGATGATGCCCCCCGTCCGCACGGATATGACGTTGTTGGCGTAGTCATGATGGTATGCCCAGTAGCTGAAAAATGCCCAGAGCAACTCTGCGATGCTCTCCCTGTTCACGGACCCGAAGTGCTCAAGTTTCTGAACTTGGTCAAAGAAGGCACATTCGATGCCATCCACCGTCACCATGTACGTCGGTTGCATCTCCTGGCGAGGAGCAGGAGGAGCAGGAGGAGCAAGATGAAGTCAACAGGGCGTGGCCGTGGGGAATTCAATGTCTCATCAGGACAAGTACAAAGGATTTTGACGATCTGGAGGGGGCTCTGACCAAATGAGTCAGATTTTTAACAGGACGCGAAACAATTGAATACTTCAGCAGAAGAAAATTTGAGAGTCTTTGAAGATCTGGACTGGGTTTTTTCGACCAAATGCGTAAAGCCACTGGTTTTGACCAGATATTTCCAAAGTCTACCTTTCAAAAACATTTGAGAAACTAAAAAAGAAGGGTAATTGGTTCACTAAGACCTGCATTCATTCTCAACCTATCATGATATTAAAACAACAGGGAAAACCCACAAACCTGCAAGCAGGGAAGAATGGCAGGTCTACGCAGTTGCAGAAAGTGGATGCACATCAGCACATACCTGCGGGGGCGGGAGGGTTGAAAAAAAAATAGAACAAAAATTGAAGTCAAAATACACCTGCCGCCTGCCTGACGACTGTCGTGAGAGATTTGGCGGGCATTGTCTTACGCGTAGCTAGAGAGGGTCCCCTGGTACGTGTCGTTGACTCCACGAGACTTTGCCCAGTGCTTGACGATGATGACGAGCTGGCGTAACCGGTGGTCTATTTGAGAATAGTTCCTGAGAAGCTTGGTGTTAACAACGGCCAGTATGTTGTTTATGCAAATGTCGCAGGAGATTCCAGTCGCAGGATCCTTCAGCTTCACTATCGGGACCCTCGCACGAGTCAGTGCCTGCGAGCATCAGACAAATTCCGAGAGCTAAAGTGCCATGAGATGTCAACAAAGTCAGCGCTGAGGCACCTCCTCTGAACATAATCGTTGTAAAGCGCTCCATCAAGGAGGTTTTATGCGGCTGGCCAATAGAATCATCAACCCATAAATCTCTCAATGGCCATCCTCCGATCAGAAAGCATAATATTGCTCTGGCAAGAGGAGCTACTTTTGCCACTGAGGAATATGCATCTGAGGTTTCGAGTAATTTCCCATTGCAAAAAAGAAGTGTTCAACCAAACTAGCACATCATTGGAGATAACTATAATTGTTTAAGAAAAAAAATTATAAATTTGATTCATTGTGGGGGGAAAAAAGGATGTCAAAGAGAAGCTTTTCTTTGATCATGGCAACTTTGTAATAAGGTAAACAACTTGAATGGCACTCGAGTGGTTTCACTCTTCACTGATCCATGATACATCAGGGGAAACAGGAAAAATTCCAAAACCTTGGACACAGAAAGCAATCAAACGGGCATGAAGATATCAAAAGGGAACTGTCTGCTTATGCGGCAGTTTCCCACCGTTTTCTGCAAGGTGTTATGATTGCTATGTTTTTCACAGAGGAACGGACATCGAAGGTACCAGCCCCCATGACTGCAAATTAGAGCTATTGTTTCCATTGTCTCAGTTTCCTGATGCCATTAACCTACACCAATGCTGGTAGGTTCTTTTCCACGATATGTTCTTTCATCATTTCACTCTTCATTATTTTTTTCCAGCATCCATTTCACCTCATTTCTCACAACTTTTCCTATATTTACATTCACAAATCAAGAAAAGTTCAGGATCAGATTTATTTTCCTAGTACAAAGTGGATTCAAACTGGGACTGCTGTCAAGAAACGTACATCCTAGTTCCACAGTTCTTGCAGAACTTCACCAATAACCCCCCAGAATACTTTTAACATGAATTTATGCGAAAACTATAAATATAAAGAGTTCTAGCTTAAAACATAAGAACAGTGTACATCTCACAAGGCATAAGCAATAAATATGCTATAACTGATATCTTTTACAGGTCTCCACATTAAAGTGTATCACGACTGCATCAACTATATACATTTCAAAAACTATGATTCATCGAATATATATGTCTCAACCACAATTTATCAAACACAATCCTTTCCAAAATGCCTTAACAGCTATTCATGAAATATGCTCCAAGAAATTTTGGATTCAGTGATCTTCATACCACAGGTTTAGAACGATTCTTTAAATATCAACCTGTTTCACAGCACCAACAGGAGACAAACTTGTGTTTATGGGGTGTAAGGTCCAACCTTACCGTGCGACTGTCTTAATCTCTCCCGAAAAGAGGTGCCCATTTTAGAGTTCTTTTCATATCCAGAAAATAATGATCTTTAAGATGATATCAACTTCAAAACTGATGAATCAGTGAAAGGACAAAAGTTTACTCCTACCTAGAAAGAGCATTAGTTTTTAAACAATGATTTTAAAGTCAGCAATACTGCCACACGCATGAAATCTATAGATTCCTATCTTTAAAGAAACAATACAAGGCAGGGGAATATTAGATACATACGCATAGACAATAACTAGCAGCACATGCAATGAAATTTAGAAAAGAATCTCCAGTATTCACCTGCACATCTTGAAGATTATCTGATTGCAAAATTTCTGCTAACCTCAGCAGAATCTTAGACTTGTCAATTTCCCCATCACTTATTGCGAGGCAAACATCGATATCACAGCTTGAGGCACCGAAAGAATTTGCACAAGATCCATAGAGATGCAGTTGAGCGTTTGGCCATTCTTTGATAATTAATTTCTCTAAAGACTGTAACAACTGTTTCTGCTTCTCCTTCTCCTCTTCTGATGGTGTAAGAGACTCATAAATTGAGATAAACTGAGGTGCAAAACTTGTTATATCATGACGGGTTCGCAACTCTCTTCGGCGACTCCTCATTCTCTGGCTTGATACATGATGTCCTCTTGATAAATCGGACCTGTGCTCCTGAGCATTTAACCGAAGTAGAAAGGTAGAACATGTCAGGGATGTTCTATGCAACTTAGGTGTTTAATGTTGGTAAAACTTGAACACGAGGCATTGTAATTTGAACCAAAGAAAAAACAAACCCGTGCTTCTAACAGGTGAACAAGACTAGTTATTAGCTAGATCGAATCACATGTATTTCCTTCATCAGATATGAAACTTGATGAACTTAGGAGGATTGGGTTTAGTTCCGTGAACTAAATAATGTAGGAAAACAAGTATGCAAGCATGCAAGAAGAACGTAAATAAAAGAAGTATGGGGCCTCTACAATTTCAAAACTATTTGAAATGAGCTGTCTCAAAGGCACAATAGAAACCTAATAGCGACAACAAATTCAACAATTCATGAAAAATAATAAAAGAATCCTTGGGTTTTACCTTAACACGAGAAGCATGCACGGCCAATTTTGTCTCAGAGCTTTCATTAGAAAGCACCAAAGATTCTACGAGCTCTACACATGTCAGATCCCTCTCGTTGCTAGAGTCCTTTGAGAACGAAAGACCCCCTGCTCCTCCATCACCAATCTGCTGTTCTCTCCTATGGGCCGTGGAGACAACATTGAAGGGCACGTCTTCTTTATGTTGATTGGCATTTGAGGAAAAAATATATCGAGTATGGGTGTCCAATGGTGGACCACGGTGATCTAGCATGGGGCCGTGCTGCAAGTGTCTAGACAGCAAATCTTCCACGTGATATGAAAGCCCACGAGCCTCTGCTCTCTGAATCTCTACTTGCTCCTCCAGATTGCGGCTCAAATTTTCACCATTACTCAGCGGCGCTCTGTTTCTCTCATCATTTGCTTCCCTGTGGGGATACAACGGCCTTCCAGACTCAAGGTTACCAGAATTCTGATGAGCAAAAGCCTGTGACGCTCGAACCAGGCGGCCTCCAGTTTCCCTCCACTGGTAGGGATGTGCTTTTGACGGGTGAATCAGATTAGACCCGGGAGGGCTGCTGGAGATGGAGTGCCTGCTATGCATTACTTTGTCCGCTTCATGATCAGAACGGGCTGAGAGGGCATGAGCAGTGGAGCGGGTGTTCAACGCACGATGCTGAGCTTCCAAACCCCAGGGAGAAGAGGTACTGTTGCCGGGGAGAAGGGGATCACGACCAGGGTGATCACCAACGCCGGGACTCCCAAAAGATCCGAAGACAAGTTGCGAGCCCTCTGTGGGAAGCGCATCTCGTCGAGGCTGCTGCTGATACTGCTGATGTGGACTGTGGTGCTGCGGATTCTGGACATGCCCAGGATTCTTGTAGAGATCCCTCTGATCGGGCCGGCCGCCCAGAAACCCTAATTGCTGGGGGAACCCAGAGATCGTGCCCTGCGAAGAAGAATGATGGCGGTGGGAGTTGTGTCGTTCATGATGATGAAAACCAGGCGGCTGCGGCGGCGGCGGCCTAGATTCCGAGGGGTTTGCCGCCCAGGGCGCCTGATGTAAACCTGGATGACCCGGCCACGGTCGGGGAGCGTGTGGATGAGAATTTGCAGGAGCCGCAGGGAAATCGAGAAAGCCGCCGGTCGGGGGTCGTGGCTGAGGGAAGGGAACACCAGGCGCGAACACGGCGACTGCTGGGTCACGGGGGGTTCCTCCGTCCCGGCTACCTGGTAATGCCGACGACGACGACGACGGATGATGAGGTTCGGCCCGGGATTGGGTGCGCCCCTGGAGGAGATGCAGAAGAAACTCCCCCCCAGTCAAAGGAGGCGACGCCGCGGGATCTTCGGGACCACCACCTAGGCCTCCGCCGCTAGGAGCTGTGGCTGGTTGTGGCGCCGACGATGTTGCCCCCCGCTCCGCTGATAGTCCGGGCAGCGACGACGATGGAGGTGCTCCGCCAGCGCCCCGGGCAGCAGCGCCGCCGCCGACGCCGCCGCCGTCAGCCATGCGGCAGGTTTCAGGCAAGGGAAAGTACGCGCAACCTGCTTCTAGCAGTATACTAGTTGAGGCAACAAGGGGTTTATTAACATATCCACAGTTATGGCTCCCAGTTCTTCGCTACTACAACTACTCTTCGATATTAACCCACGATCAGATTACAAACTTCAACAGCATGCATCTATGTGTATCTTTGATTAGATTTCCTCTCTCTCTCTCTCTCTCTCTCTCTCTCTCTCTCTCTCTCTCTCTCGGCTCTGGCTCATCACCCTTTCAAGGGCTAGACTTGAGAACCCAACAACACAGGCCTCTTACTTTCGAAGAACCTTTCTTCCCATTTTTGTCTGCTTCTCAGAAGTCAACCTCTCCAGCACTATGTTTCGAAAGCAGACCTATTAACCATGCTTATAAGAAGAATCTCCAATCCGTTGACCAATTAATTGGCTTTCAATAATCTATCTCGTAACTCCTCTCTCCTAAATCAAACACTAAACTGTTACATTGTAGGAAATACCAACGATTACCATGCTTGTTGGAATCTTCTCGTAAAATTATCTTATAGATCTCATCATTGAACAATATTATGAAATTCTCTCTCCCCTGCCTCTCTCTCTCTCTCTCTCTCTCTCTCTCTCTCCCATTCACACAAACACTCCTCTCTATCATTATGTGGAACGTTAGAGACCCATAATCTGATGTTTATGGCACCAAACGATTTGCACTTGCAGTTCTACAACTAATAATTACTTGAATTTCTGTTCATCGAGTCTTTGGAAATGATCCCCAATTAGAAAATATGAAAGATTGAAATTAATTTTTATTTGAATTTTTTAGAATAAGTATCATCACCATTGGCTGGCCTTCCAACAGATTACTTAATTCTCACATGTTTTAGCTTCCTTAAAATATCTAAGATTTAATGGCCCCAATCTGGTTTCCTTTTCATACCCCTAGCTCTTCATATGCTCAAGAAGAGAGAGAGAGAGAGAGAGAGAGAGAGAGAGAGAGAGAGAGAGATAGAGAGAGAGAGAGAGTCTTTGTTGCATATACACAATAAATAGCTACCTAGAGAACATGTAGTTTGACTTTTGACCATGACAAGATCAAAATAGTATATTTAGCAAATTATCATGGACTAATATTTTTATAAAATTCTGCAAAATGCATTGACCATGTTAGTTATAAAGAGAATCTCTCCATCTTGTGTTGTCAACTTTTGTAATAGTATACTTTGAAAGGAATTTTCATTTAATATTTTTGAAAACTGCTGGAAAAATGTTGACCTTATTGATTTTGAAGAATATCTCTATTATTAATAAAAATCTTAAATGTAATAATTTGGAGATTCCCCTGATTTATCAACATTTTTAACATATTTGGACATGTTGACTTCAATTCTAAAGAATATTTGTTTCTCCCAAATCAGTTTTGTAAATGTGATACGTGAGCATATTCTCTCAATTAATGATATTAAAAGTCTCCAAATACACTTTTGTAAGTTTAAATAATTTCTCTCTCTCCTCTCTCTTTCTCTCTCCTATATCCTTATCTAAAGCATTTTTTAACTATCCTCAATCAAGATACTTATGGTGACATTCTTCAAGTAATTTGATCTTGTTAGTTTCAAGTATCTCTTTCTCTCTCTCTAGTTACTACCATAAAATAATCTCTCAAGCATTAGTTCTTTTGAAATTGACTCAATGATCGTAGTTATGATAGAGATAAATATGTTTACCTTGTTAGTTTCAAGGAATCTCTTCTTGTAAATAAAACCTTTTCAACTACCATACTTTTAAAAATAGGTAGTGCTCACATTTCATGAACATTGACTGATAGCTCAAAATTGCTTCCTTTCTTTCTATTTATTTATTTGAGAGACATTTGGCACCTATGAACTCGATTTTATGATTTTTTTAGAATTTCAATGATAACACAATGATAGCAGAATTTTTTTTACTATTCTAAGCTAGAGGATATTATTCTAAGTATTTCACTCATGAAATTGTATAGTAGTTCAATCACCTTGACTACTCCACTATCAAAGGATCACATCTATAAGTTTCGTTAAATCCTTTGTGAAATCCATACTAAATGACAGACTTTGACCACCTTCACTAAATTTAGTGGCTCTAATTGACTCAAAATTTCACCTAGAAATCATCTTTTATATTCATGACTATGGAGACAAATAGAGGAGACCCACTCATCTCTTCCAAATTAACAACTCTAAGGACCAATGAAATTAGCACTAGCTATTCTCCTCTAGATTGAGGTTCTAGATCTACATGAGTATCAACCGTAATTTAAAATACAAGAAAAAATAGTTACCATCTTTGTCACTTAAGATCTAAGCTTTCTAGAGGCTTGATTCATATGATTTCTCATTTATGAAGTTTTTTGTTGAGGGTGTACCTTGTCACTCTTGTTGGTCTTTAAATTTTCACCCTTCATTTTGATTAATTCATCATTCCTTGCCTGATACTCTTGTTTTCTGGTGAAGAAATTGTTATTAACTAATATACCTTCTTTCTTTATTTTCCTAAGGATCATATAGTGGTCCAAAATTGGTCTTTTCACTTAACTGGTGCATCCCCAGATTTCCTTCCATTCTTACCATTAAATATTATATATTTTAGAATACATGCAACTTATTTGGGCATTTTCAGGGTTTACAAGAATATTAAATTCAGATTATAGCTCAAAATGGTGATTTTTACATTTGATCCCAGCTTTTTCAATTTTTAATCTTTTCTCAATATAAAATCATTAAGATCATCCAAATAGTTAATTATAAAATGATGAATTTTATAAATGTATTCTTAAATAAAAAAAAATCATCATCAAAAATATATATATTTCTAGAGAAAACATATTTTTCTACCTAACATGTCAATTTAATCAACTCATTTTTATCCCCACAAAACCTTATACTTTGGCCAACTTGTATAGATCTTTTGTAGGCATGGAAATGATAGCAAAAAGGGCTTAAAATTTAAGTTAATAGGGGAAACGTAATTATTAAAAAACTTACAACCAAGATGTAAATATGTGCGTGTATATTGAGAAGCAAATTTTAGGATCTATTTTGAAAATAGAATGGTTGATTTTGTAGTTGAGCGATTTTTCCAATTTCAGATATTTACGTAAAGTGTTTAATTTATGCTAACTAATCTTTTTACTTTTTCAGATTTTTAGCAGCCATAAAATAGTTAGAACTGGTCTCCCAATAGCTAAATCACTCTCTTGTGTCTAACTTCCAATTTGTCATTTTTCTTCTTTTGTCGTTTAGCAGTGCATTTAACTTCTTTATTTTTCTTCTTGGACTCATGTCAACTCTTTTTTTGGTTAGAGAGAGGACACAATCTTATAGAGAAAATAGCTCAAAAATATTGAATAAATTCTAGAAAGATATGAGAGTATTATGATACACTTAGTCATGTCTAAGGGTCATGATGTTCCACAATAATTATAATATGAAATGGCCATCATACCCTTGAGGTATTTTCCTCTAGCTGATATCTATCTTCGGTATGTGATTTATGTTCCTATCATAGGGAGTTTTGTAATTTTAAGATTATGATACCATCTTTCTATCCATGTTGCCATCATCAAAATCATTAAGGCTCTCAAAAGCAACATATTTTATAAGAAATAAGTGATGATGATTGATTATCCAATGAGGGTGATTTAGAGGAGTTATCAATGAAAAAAGAAAGAAGATTTGATGAATCAAAAGAAAATTGTCTAAAAATGTTAGAAGCTGATTTGATGTCACTATTTTTGAACCATTGAAGAGATTCCAATAGAGGCAAGAAGCCATAAAACTGTCATTTGATAAATATTCCATAAAATACCACACAATGCAATTTTTTCTTTAAATTGTATTTATTTATATTTTCATACAAAATTATATGACTTGTTACGTGAAATTATGAACGAAAGAGCAACCATACTATTGACAAGTACATAGAATAGAGGCAACATATAAAGGGAATAAGCTTGTGGATACCCATAAAAGAACTTAGATATGTAAAAACTCATAGAAATCAAGAAATACATCACCCTTAAGGTCAAAATAAAAAGTGCTCACTTATATTTACTTATTTCTTTGGTAGATTTAGACTTATTTGGTTTTTACCTTGGTTCATATGCAGTTTATTTAACCAAATATCTTATGAAAAACAATTTGTGAAATGAATTGTGCAACACCCAATATTTTTCACAAGATTAATGGTCATTCAAGTATGATCCATTATTTTTTCACCTCAATATATTTTTCTCGTAACATAATTCTAGATATGAAATGGTAAATATTATACATAAGCTCGAAACTTCATAATCTTATGCAATTAAAATATTTATAAATTATTATTTATTATCTTTTAATTTATTGAGTGTATGTTAATTCTTCAATTGGTTTCAAATAATATTTCGAATCATTCTTATTAGTAAATCGGTAACTAGAAATAAATCTGAAATGTCTGCTCACCAACATAGTGGCTAAATATTTATATATTTAGTATTCATATAATCAAAACTTGGAAATTTTAGATCGTTCATGTTTACTAAATTTTATTTTTAATTATTCTTGATTATAATTGATGGGTTATTTAAATTATATCCCATCTTACAACATATATTTTATTTAAATAATGTTATTTAGTCCTGAAAACCAACATTTTTTATCCAACTTTACTACTACTTCAACTTTACTATCTTATTTGGTATTTGTTTGGATGATATGCAATCATTTTTAATTACTTAAGTGATCATGATATAGGAATTGGAGTAAAAAGGAAAATATTTAACATATGAATCTGATTGGGATGAGTATACATTATTAATTTTTTGTAGTATTGTTTCAATGAAATTTCTTGCACACTCAAATTGCATCAACTTATTGTCACTTTTTAGTCAAAAAATGAAAAGTGATTTCTTATAATATATGATGATCAAATATGCAATCATTAATTTTCTTGAGTAATTAAGCTTGAAAATGACCACCAAGACTAGATATTTTATGAAAATTTGTTTAGTAGTCAACCACACTCCATGTTCCTCAATTTGGGAATTTTCACCTGGATTCTCTTAAGCTTGTAACAAGTTGTCCTTCCTTTGGTGCCTATTTTCAAGTTGCCTATTGCCAAGACTATTTTTGCACAATCAACTCTTGATTAACAAGAAGATCATTCAGATACAAGGTCTATTATAGTTAGAGAAATATGTTGAACGTTTGAAAGTTCTATCTTCATTGGCCATAAATCCATGACCTTGTCCAGCTTTTTATTTTTGTAAATTCAACTACTGAAAATCCATTAGTTCACATTTTTTAGCCAAGTGATGATAGTAGTCTTTGTCTCATTGCTAATATCAATGTTTTGAGACCAAACATTGACACCTGAACCTTGACTTTACTTGCATAACTCAAGACTGCCTAGTTGTGTGTACTCCTTTTAAAAATATTTTCATTTTTCCCATGTTTCACCTTTAGCTTGGGCTGATCAACAATTAAATATTTGGAGCGTCATTTTATTTGCTTTGAGAAAAAATCAACTAAATTAGTACAAAACAAGAGCTTTTTTAGTAATGAAAAATTGGCTTATCATGTTCAATAATGGTACTTTAGATGAGTATCATTTCGTAGACACCCTAAATGTAGGAAGATTTGCATAATGAGATAAGTGCGAATGTAGTAAATAACAAACAACAGCAAAACTACCGTCATAACCATGTGTTTCTCTCTCTCTCTCTCTCCCTCTCTCTCCCCCTCCCTCCGGTGGGATAGACAGTTGTTCCCCCTCTCCCACACATCATTTTCTCCCTCTTTACCTCTCCCTTGCTAATCTCATACCCCCCCCCCCCCCTTCCTTCTCTCTTTTTGTACTGCATCACTTCAAAAAAATTTAATGCAGGTAGGTTCACATTCATAGAACATGCCGAGCATATTCTTTGGATTCATAGCTATTTTTTGTAGGGACCCTTCAGGTAACCTAGATGAATATATGAATTTCTATGTAATTACAGGATGTTTTAGGAGTCAAATTTCACATAACATTTTCAAAACTAAGGCTCCCTTCTCAAGCATGATAAACCTAATCTAACTTACAGCGTTTCCAAACATAAAGCCGTTATCCGCTTCCGGGAGCCCTTTTCTGCCTGATGTGACTGTTTACACCATGTACTCCGCCGAAACTCATTCCTACCCAGCAGACCAGAGTTTCCTTTTTGTTACGAAGTTTTGCGTGTTCATGCCATTTGTTCTTTCCCTGCATGCATGGGCGGCTCATAGGCACAGGATTAGCGAGAAACGTTCAGATTTGGCTTGGAGTTGTCCCGGACGGAGAGGTTTATTCTCAAAAAGAGGCAAGTACAAACCGAGGGAAGCGGCGTTAAATTCTAATTCCAAGCTAACCTTCTAATTGTACTGTGGAAGAAGGAAGGAAGACAAGGTGTTATGGAGGACGCCATCAGCTTGATTTTCTCTTCTTCTTGACAAGGCCTCTATCTCTCTCCCCCTCTTTTTCTTCTTCTTCTTCTTGTTCTTCTTCTGTTTGTAGGGTTTCTGAGGAGGCGGCTTGTAAGAGGAGGATGTTCCGGTGTATTCCTTGTCTGAACACCAAGGGCTTCTTGGAGAACCTCACGTTCCATGTACGCCAAAACGCTCTGTCCTCTCTTCCTTCAAGGTTTTTTAACGGCGTGATGCCTTCCATGGGCCTGTGGTTTCTGTAATATCGTCTTGGCGTGACATCAGGTAAAGGAGGAGCCATACGACGAGCACGGCCCACCGCAGACAGCGTCGACAGTGGAAGTGATGGAGGAGGCGACAGAGAGGTTGAAGAAGAAGAGGAGAGAGAAGAAGAAGAAGCAGATGATGACGGGCGATGGTGGTGCAAAAGGAGGTCGCGTTGTGCAAGAGAGTGAGAGGGGAGAGGAAGAGGACGAAGAGTGGGTGGCGGAGGTCGACAGAGGGGTCCTCCTAACCTTAGTTTCTCTACCCCAAGGGGGTAACCGGATCGAGAAGATACGCTTCAGGTTCGTCTCGCCCGCCCCTTCCGCACCAACTTTCTCTACCGTTACCTTTCTTCCTTTAGAGCCCGACGTAGTTCAGACACTCACACATACTCGTCGCGTGCACTTCACTTGGACACACATTATGGAGAGCGAGAGGGAGGGAGGAAGAGAGAGAGAGCCCAAGTACGCCATGACGTGTGAAAACATTGTAGATGGCGACTGGTAGCTGTTATACAAGTCAAGTCATCTTTTTTGACGCTGAACTCATCCCCGAGACTTGGATTCCCCTCCACAGGAAGGACATGTTCGACTTCTCAGAAGCCCACCGATGGTGGAACGAAAACTGCGACAAAGTCCTGGATCTTTACTGCGTCCATCCTCCATCTTCGCAGCCCGACCAAGAGGTAAAACCACCCCCTCACGTCGATCACATTTCACTAAAATTCGAAGAAACAAAGAGGGTAGAAACATCCATGATGATGATGATGATGATGATACAAACTAAGTAATCCCGCTAAAAATGTATTATGGGTCCTGTTCTTAGATTCAACCGTGATGTTTAAGAGGGAGGAACCATGCCCAAATATGTATGTTAAACTATGTTGTAAGAAAAAATGTGGTGCAACTTAACTTTGAAGATTTGGGATACGAGGGCAGAACAACTGTTAGGGAGGCATGCCTCAGCCGTGGAACGTGTTCATATATGGAATGGGCGGGACTGCTTTATTTTTTACTCCTACTGTTTTCACCGTTTTACATGGTTTTCCTCGGATTTCCTCCCTCTGCCCCGTCTGAAATCTTCTATATAGAGCCCGGGCAAATCCGCGAGGGAAGGCAGCTTCCCGTGGGCGGCGGGAAGCTACACGGAATACCTCTCCGCCGGCTCGTCGTCCTCCTCCTCCTCGACCTCCTCCGGCGCCGCCGGGGTGGGACCGGAGATGCGGGTGGTGGTGCCCGGGCGGCTCGTGGAGTCGGTAGTGGAGGATCAGCCGGGTGTGTTCCTGATCGTCCGATGCTCGCCGGACGGCGGCAAGGAGCTGCGGCGAGTGCTGTTCAGGTGAGTCAAAGCTCGCGCCCCTTGGAGTATTCACCGAAGAGAGAATCCTTGCGAGTCTAACGTGAGGAATTTGCCCGCAGCTGCGAGAGGTTCGGCGAGGTGAAGGCGAGGGTCTGGTGGGAGGAGAACAAGATGAGACTGAACGGGGAGTACACTCTGAAACACCTGCGCCTACATTCAACGTTGATTTGCGATGGAGCTTAGCTTGGCGAGACATTAGACGGCCGGACGGGGAGGGATTTGGTGCAGCCGTGGAAGCCATCAGCGCCGCCTACTGGAGTGGCACAGTTTCTAGTCTTAGTCTTTCGGTGAGACATTAAACCGAGTAGTTGGGGCGGCGAGATTTATGGGTTCTTCTATCTTGTTCATCTCGCACTGGAACGATGCGCTCTGACGACCTTCCTTCCGCCTCGAGGGCCCAAGCGGTCCCTGTGGCCGCTTTTAATCTCATAGATCAGCCGTAAGACAACGTCCGAAAGCCAAGAAAGACAACACTTCCCTGTGTTCTTCCAGGATTTTCATCTCTCCGCGGGACAAATACCAAACAAACAAGCAAAACCGTTCCTAGTTAGTGCCAGTAATTGGCTCCCCGGCGGATCGCGTTGCACAAAATAGCATGGAAGGAGCGTACTCGTGCTTGATATGACTACATGCCAAGGGTTTCATAAAAATTGTGTACATATAATATGAACAAATAGAGAGGGAGTAGAGTGAGAGAGAGAGAGAGAGAGAGAGAGAGAGAGCATGCAAGCCATACAAACAAACACTGACTTTCTACCAAGAAATAATACCTAAAACACTGGTTTGATTTTGTCAGCTCTTCACTTCACCAACATATACACGAACAGGAGTAGTCGGATACAGATGGGCATCGGGCCATAAAAACCAGATGATACAATAAATACATCTACTGTGTCTCTAGTCGGTACCTGAAGACCGAGCAAATTAGCTCATCGGAAAATGTTAGGAAATCTCATCCGTGGGGATACTGTGGTATGCGGAGTCATTGGGACACTTGCGGAATGTATTATATTGGCCATATATGGCATAGAAGATCACTGCTATAGCGGTAAGGATGACGAATCTCCACCATGCTTCTTCATGCAGCTGTTGACAGAAACCAAATATCATCATGATTACAGATTTTCTGATGCTGGGTTCTATAAAAAATGAACTCTGGTAGCTGTGATTTTCCTCAGGTCGACAGAAAATGGTTTCTCCAAGTTCCCCCCCTCCCCAAAAGAGGCTTAGATTTTTCTAGAAATGAATTTTTAAAAAAAAAAAAAAAGGCACAGCATAAGAAACATGTTTCTGTATTTTTACAGGAATAAAGTCAGGGTATGGGCATCAAAGATAGTTCTCCCTCCCACTCCAGTTATTTATTAGCCTACACATATTCCTTCGTTGCACAGCACATTAGATAAAACGGCACACTGAAGATCACCTTGAACGAGCTCAAAGGAGGGAGAAAGAATAGAAAAGAAAGGGAACCAACCAAGGTCCGTGATAAAAGATGCAGTAGGCCCGTGATATAGTTCTGGTTTCAATTCATCATCAGTGAAGAATGGGATCCGCTTGTCAGTAGAATGTTTCCAATAAATACTCCTACCACTGCTATCACCGACTAAAAGGGTATTCTTAAAATAATAATAATAATAATAATAAAACACTATCATCTCCGATTTTCTGGTCCTATTATACTTCCATCCAGGTTATTTAAAATCTGATGATTTTTTTGGCGCAGTACACATGGTAAGTGGGCTGGCGCAGTACATCATCATGTTAACATTATAAAGGGGAAAATCGGAACATGGCCAAAAATCTGCATAGGAGAAGTGTGGTTCGTAATGCTTATGTGTTCATCTTATGCGAACCAGAGGAGTCTTGAACTGGAAAAGATGTTCTCCCAACTGTGCATGTTCATGGTAAGTAGGCCAACCAAATCGCACGGGAACAGTTTCAGAACCGAACCTGAGCAAATAAGAAGATGTTGAAGAAGATTGAGAGCGCTGGCACGGCTGGAACTCCGGGGCAAGAGAAGCCTGGGGGATTCGCATGAACCTAGAAAAAATATTGTTTGGAAAAGAAGATTAACGTTAGAGAGCACGACGACAGATTATGAGGAAAAATAATTAAGAGTGGACTATGATTATAAAAAAGCATGTCCAAGCATGGCCAATGTGAATGCTACCTAGAACAACACAAACAGATATTTAAAAAGGGCTAGCATTTGACAAACACAACGTATGATCTAAGCACAAATTATGATCAGATTGTCCCATAAGCAGGGGATCTTCTTATATGTATTTCATGCTATCATGCAGCAAACTCAAAGTCAAATGTATTCTAGTTCTAGACAACCAAGCACCAAGAATAAAGTGATATTGAAAGATCAATCCTCTGGATCAATGCCTCCAAACTTTCAAGATAATCAGTGTGCTTACTGAACACGTCCACATAATGATGATCTTCACCTTTCGGGGGAACAACCAAAAATTTTAGACGAGTAGAGCGAGTTATATTCAAGTGAGGAATGGGAATTCGATGAAGGTCGAAAAACTTGTGAATATATGATTAGGTTTGTCGTATTTGATTCAGTTTTATCTTCTAATATATAAAAGTGTGATTTTTCATTAAAGTTTCATTAGCTTATTGATCTGCTCATTTCTATAATATTCAAAATATTTGATACTCTAGGAGCCATCATCACCTACTTTTTAGTCACCGGTCTGTTCCAGGAGAAAATGGAATCAGATGAATCAACTGGTTAAAGTACATACAAAAGGAGATTCCATAAATTGGGTACACAAAATTGTAGAAGTTCAGAAAATTGCTTTTCAGGGTGCCTACGTCCTCTGAAAATTTTCTTTGGCATGGTCCGCGTCGATCCTGCATATCAGCTGTAGAGGTCAGGTTGGTGCCTGCCGTATTGCTACTCATCTGTATGCTTTTAATGGTAGCAGCGACCATGCAAGCAATTGGCTAATATTACCATTTATAGCTCAACCTTCTTTCCTTTTCTCACCATTTTCAAGGGAGGATCAGATTTTTCCCCCCCTGAAGGTAGTTTGTCCAGTTATTATCCACATGACTAGATGCAGATCAGAACTAGCTGAGCTTTTTTGAGTCACGATGGATTTATTATTCTTTATTTTGTGATAACCATATGTCACAACAGTCAAGGATGTACGAAGCACGTGTCTTCATGATTCAATGTTGGGACTAATTACCAGTTACCATATACAAACAAAACAATGTTTTCTATGAATTGGCTGGCATGTGCTCATTTTTGTTAATAGGGTTTTGGTGAACATGACCAATTCGATTGTCAACCAAAAAACCTGGTCTAGAAACCGCTTCACACCATGTTAGAATGAATGTAAGGTACTTTCAATACTGAAGATCACCAAACCTACTGACAAATCCCTCGACCTGAGTTTTACTTTGCTGCTAACATATGATATCTGTAATGAGCTCGTCAGATGCTGATCAATGCACAGTATTATCTGTGCTGAGCTCTGGCTCTTCTGGTGCCACTGCCACAAGAAAATATAAGGGACATGACACGAGCAATTGATGGACACGAGCTTGAACGCTAGGTAACAACAACTGATGGCCTGATACAGGTACCGGGCAGGATTGGGCTTAGTTTTGGAAAAACAAGGGCAAAGACTGGAGTTCATGCTTATAGCAAGCCAACAAGTGGAATGGTGCCAATGATCCAGAAACCCTTTACTCTTCTCTCTAACATTCGTACATCCGCACTCTCCTTCCTTCCCTGGTCTCACGGCAAAGGCTTCTTCTTCTTTATTTTTTATTTTGTCTTGGAGTGAGAGGGCGGAGTGGGGTGGCAGTCATAATGACTAGGGCTACGGCTACGGTTGCCCTACACTTTTTTTTTCTCTCTCTCTCTCTCTGTAGTGCTAAAGACATCATCAAATGGATTATGAACTTCAAACACAGGTTGTTACCCTTAAAGAAAATGAAGTTAAAATACTCAAGGTCAAGAGTTGCAAGGGACACACACGTGATAAGAATATTTTTCAAAAGAAAAAATTACACATAAATAGGATAAACAAACATTCACAGTCAACAAACTGTTCAAAATTTCTTTCACATCTTAAATGGAAAGTTGAAGATAGCAAGCGTCCAAATCAAACACAAGAGCAAATGATAAAAGCAGCACCACAAATACTCCAACAGTTTACTTCAATTCAAAGGATCAGAGTTGCATAGGGAAGGTGATGTGAATAGAGAAACCCATGGTTCAGATACTAACCTGCCGAATATGGAGAAAAGCAACAGCAAGTATGGCAACTAACACAGCAGCAACGGGGAAAGGAAAAGAGGCTCCAAAACGGTAGCACAGTCCAGTTATAAATCCGGAACAGGCAATAGTAATAAGGCAAATGATCCCTTCCTGCCGAGCTGAAATGCCCCTTATAGCAGGTTGAGCTTGGGGCTTACCCTTCCAACGGAGGGCAATGACACAGCCAGAAACAACAGAATAGCCCGTCTAGAAATGGAAAAATGCCACTAAATGTCAAAACGGGCAAAGCATAAAGAAGGTGACGAATTACCAAAGATTGGTAGCACAAGACAACATCAATCTGAGGATAACTCACCAGTGAACCTACTGAAAGAATGTGAGAGAGCACATGTACATTAAAAAAACTAGCCATGACGCCTGCAACAGCACCGACCCAGAGCTGAGCCTTGATAGGAGTGTGATGCGAAGGATGTACTTCCGCAAAAACCGAAGGCAACAGACCATCCCTTCCAAGACCAAGATACAACCGGGACTGTCATTAAAAATTAAAGTTAGATTCAAGCTGGAAAACTATGAAGAGTGACTAATACTTTCAATAAACTAGGTCACCTGAACAAAAAGCCCAACAAGAAGGGTAGTGGTGAGACCAGCGATAGCACCAATACTGATTAAAACTGAAACGAATTTCAGCCCTTTTGAGGTAAAAGCTTCTGCCAGTGGTGCATCCTCACTAAGCAAATTGTATGGCACCATTCCCGTAACCACTAAGCAGACTCCAACATACAGCAGCGCACAGACGATAAGGCTAGCAAGGATGCCAATGGGCAAGTCCCTCTTCAAAAAAGATATTTTGCCAATAATATTGGCATGATTGAGAAATATTAGATGCACATTAAAAACGTAAAGTTACAAGGAAAACACTCGCCAATAAGCTTATGACAAACATTCAGTACCATTCAAAACAGATTCTGAAAAGGAAACAAATGATAAGCAACCTATTGAATCACCTGTGGTCTCTTTGACTCTTCAGCGGAATTAGCCACTGCATCAAATCCAACATAGGCAAAAAACACTACGGTAGCTCCAGTGACGACCGCTTTGACGCCATTTGGGGCAAAGGGTGACCAATTCGATACATCCACCTCAAAAGCACCGAAAAAGATGACAATAATGACAATGACCACCTGTAGGGTGGTGGTTGAAATTACTTCAGAAAGCGATTGGAAACGGAACTCTACTTTATATAAAAGAAAATAAACAGATTCAATCTCAGAACAAAATCCAATGACCAGCAGAATTAGACATTATCAAAATCCAAGAAATAAAATAGACATGAATAATATGGAAATAGCAAGGTTACGTCAGATAGTAGTTGAATGAAAGTCTTTTTCCACTATCACATCCAATGTGCACAGAACACTATTACTGTTCACATTTCATTTCTGAAGTTTCAAAAGAAACCATACTGAAGATGTTGATGGATTGCCCCTGAAATCCCCCCAGTTCAGAAATAGCAAGCACATCCAAACCCATAAAAAATAAAAAATAAAAATAAAAATAAAAATAAAAATAAAAATAAAATCCGTGGAAAGACCTAGGTGACTGCTTCTACCCACCGAAATGTCCCAGACTACAGACTGAGAAACAGTCCTGTCACAAGACATTTTTAAATCGTAGAGCGACTAGATAAATCACAGTGCACGATCAGTCTTCCATAAGCGTCACAACCTAGTCATCAGAAGAAAAGTTTTAGAAAATTTCTCTATGAAATTCCTTTTACCAAAACTAACAGCCCATACAACTGCTGGGGGCAGCATGATCCACTCATCTTTTTCGTACTTCAGGTTACTTAACCAATCCACCATACCGTTATGATACGAATATTTTTCAGTTCCTATAATTAAATATGAACCTCCCCAGAAAGTGAATTTCACAGCACTTCTTGGGGACTTTACAGAATAATGTTTTTTTTTTTGCTTGATTAAGTCAGGGTTAAACTTTCCCCACAAAAGTTTTACAGAAAGTCTTCCATTTGCTTTACATTTCGAGTTTCTTCAAGCTTCCTCTCCACTCACCATATAGATATACGGTGGTAGAATCTACAGTGATTCTTCAAGTAATAAAATCTGTAGTACATCTAAGATGGAAAACAACCCTGCCCCACATAGTAATTTCTAATCTGATTGTTGGTTTTGCATTTTGACAGCCATTAAATTACACAATCTTCAGAACCCTACAACCAATGTATCAATCACCTTCAGGGAACCTGATACGTTTGCAATGGTCACTCATCATACAATCAGTGATGGAGCTAAAGAATTAATATATTATATCTAATTAAGGAACAGGGGACCCTGAAATATTAAATACTTGATATGAAGTGAACTCTTCAGAAAAAGAGCAATTCACAGGTTATAATCTACATGATAATACTTTTAATGGATATTAATCAATCTGACCATCGGATCCCTTTCAGAAAAATGATCTGAGACCGAGGACTCTAACTCCCTAAATTGCAAATCACAAAACCCACTCATTTGTTTTTCCATTTATTATGCAAATGAAGTATTAGTGACAAGATTGCATTCCTACTAAGGTAAGAAACCTAAAGTCAAAATTTTCATTGGGGTTCTGGCTTAAGGTTCAAGCTTCTGTGCATCACAAGCTGTCAGCAGATGCTGAATGAAAATTTCAAATGTTGAAAGTAGAATCAACAAATGAGATAAAGTGTTTGTTGAAATTTTTAGTAGATACGGCAGATAATACAACCATTACACGGAACCAACTATGGATGTTAAAAATGAACACTTTTTTTTTTCTCTTGATTGGAATATGGAGTAATATTTAGAAAGATCTCACACAAATCAACAGCAGCAAAGATTTTAAAAAAATGCAGTCATATTGTGATTAATGACCCAGCCATCTCTGAGCTGTTGTAGCTTTCTGCTATCTGCAGACTGCATATCATACAGATGTGAAATAAAAAAATGTATCAGGCAGAAAATGCTTCATGTGCATTAGATCAACTTTATATGTGATACATTTCATTCATCTCTTCTAAGTAATTTTCATTAAATTTTAATTAAATAAATAGTACAGATAAAATTGCATCATATCCATGCTTTCAGTGTTATTGTACTAATAGAGCTATGCACTTCAATATTCAAGAGAAAGCCTTTTAACAACAAAGGATGCTAGAAAACTTCTCAACAAATACCAGGTTGAGAGCATCCAATCACCTAACAGTGTCTAGGTAGATCCAATGACAAGAATGATAAAAACTGAGGCAATGGAATTTTTCTTTTTCTTCTTTCAGGTTTGAGCTTGAGATAAAAATCTGACAGAAAATTGACCAATGCGCAGTATGAACATCTTAAATTCAGAACATATCTTCTATGGAATGTTACTGCTATCCATCAATTAAAAAAGGGTTAAGAAATGACTGAGATTCTGAGGAACACAAGACAGAAAAATGACAGAAGTTTAAGATTTGTTTTTTGTTCCTTAAAAAGGGAGATATGATCATGGGTCATCTCTAGTTTCGGAGGTTCAAAGACCTAATCTCCATGGGAATTGGACAAGCCAGGTACCCCAATTTAAATCAAGGTAGGTTCGACATACCACCAAAAACAAAACTCGAACAGTGTTAACCTGCGTATCGCGAGTTGCTGAAATATGATCCAGGTTGGCTTCAATCATATTGATCCAGTTGGGTATTATTTATGAAAGAAATTAATTACATGATGTCTGTCATTAATACATGGTCAAAAGAACGTGGTTTTTTAAAACTGTAAATTTTATCTTCTATATAGACACTATATACGAAAAATTAGTAGGATGATTAACAGCATAATACTAGAAGATTATGGCTGTTAGACTATGATATTTTCTCAGGTACACGATATACATGGTAGATGGTCCTCACTGATTCTTAGTTACTTTGGATGCTCGCTCCCCGACCATTTGAGGTCATGTCAGCTTTATACCTTAGTCCTAGCTTCTTCTTTGTTTTCATTTTTTAGTTTCTTTGAGTTTTGTTGGACATTTTCATCCTTTTGGGAATTGCATCATATATTATGAGTTAATCATCCAGGTTACAATGAAAATTATTCAAAGGAAAGAAGCACATAAGGCAAAGAGAGATTACTTTGGTGGTTGTCATGAGTGAGTTCACCATAGAGGACTCGCCAACACCACGGCAAAGAATTGCTGTTAAGATTAGAAGAAGAATCGGGGCAAGTAAATTGATAGATACTGCTCCCCCGAAGAGCTCTTTGCCTCCTTTTCCCATCCAGCTAGGAAAATGTCCCCTGAATAGAGGAAATAGCTCCAGAGTGGCGACCACATAACTCGCTAAGCTCCGTGCTATGCTCGCTGCTCCAATATGGTAGTCTACCATAACTTGTGTGAAGACGAGAAAAGCTGTTAGCTCATTGAATGCAGCATAAGTGTACAGGTATGCTCCACCAACTACAGCAGGGAAATACGAAGATAGCTCCGCATAGCACAAGGCATTAAGCGCGCTGGCAACTCCGGCTAAAATGAAACTGACCGTGACGGCTGCATTTGAACCAGCAACCAGTGAGTAACAAGCAAGGGTTGGCCCAGATATCGACAAAGAACAAGGGAACATGCCAGGAATGGTAAATCTATGCATGTTGCGATGACATGAAATCTAAAAAGATTCGATGTTAAAATCTAAAGCGGTGCAACATAAAAGTCTGACAGGATTCAACCTCCCACAGCGAGAAACATGGACAATGAGAAAGACCTTTACCATTCATATCCTTGCTAAAGTCTAGGCAAATAGAGTTCACAGCAGTTCATGTCATCGGAGCCTAGTAATGTCGTGTGAACGTAGAATACTCATTCGCATCACTGTATGAAATGAAAAGCATCTCCTTTCTGATCACTACAAAAGTTGTCAAATGATGATGCCATGATAGACCACACTCTGTAAACGGCAAAAAAACTCTAGAGTGTCCAAGTTTTGGTAAATAGAAAGCTCCTATGGAAGGAATTCAAAGAATGTGGTTGAGAAACAAAAATGAGGAGAAAAGAGCATGAAGTACAGTTGCAAATTTCCTGCGAAGGAAAATTCTGATGAATTATGTTGGATGCCTGAATTTTGGAGCAAACTCTATTTCCATAGAAGATCAAATCTAGCAATAAATAAATAGGATAGTTCGATGAATGTTATTCACTCGGCTGGAGGAGACGCTACCGGGGCCGGCGTCACGGGCGACAGTGCCAGTGACGACAAAGATCCCGGACCCTACGGAGGCGCCAATCCCAATGAGGATGAGCTGCACCAAGCCAAGACGGCGGACGAGAAGACGGCCATCGGCTGGTTCGCCAGTAGCCGGGGACGGAATCTTCCTCCGGAGAGCGGATGACCGGAAACTGGAGAAGAAGGAAGCCATTGCGCCGGGCGGCGGAGCGGAAGAGCTGGCGTCTTGCCCCCGTCCTACGCCCATCTGATCTCTTACTCTTCCCCTTCCTCTCTCTTCGCGAACTAGGACGACGAAGATCGCAGGTAAGAAGGAAACCCCAGAAAGCGGGCTCGGCCCGGAGAAAAGCCCAGAAAGCGGAGGCGATCCCGGGCCCGCCTTTTCTCTCCCATTTTGGGGGCTCTCTTCTTCTTCCTCTTCATTTTCCCGCTCGCTCGCTCGCAAAAGGGAAGCCTTTCCCTCGCTCCGGAGGCGCAGCAATGGGCTCGACTGAGGACGCCCACGTGAAGCTCCTCGCCCGGGAGCTCCTGGGCCTCGCCGGCAGGTCAGCCTCCTTCTGCATCGCGGGCGGCCGCGCCGTCTCGAGGGCGGAGGCCGTGGGCGTGGTGGTCGCCTGGGAGCGGCGAGAAAAGCTCATCCGCTTCCTCCTCGACGACGGCACCGGGTGCATCCCCTGCGTCCTCTGGTTGAACCACCGCCTCCTCGCGGGGCGGCCGCCGGCGGGCGACGGCCTCTCCCCGGCGATCCCTCGCCACCTGGCGGGGCGGCCCCCGTCGGAGGTCGAGATGCTGGGCCGCGCCGCCGAGGGCCACGCGTCGAGGGCTCAGATGGGGGCCCTCGTGCGCGTGCGGGGCCGGCTCACGGCGTTCCGCGGGACGCTGCAGCTGACGGTGGGCGGCGTGGTGGCGGAGAGGGACCCCAACGCCGAGGCGTTGCACTGGCTGCAGTGCCTCCGCCTGGCTCGCCGCTGCTACGGCCGGCCGACGCCGCCCTACCCCATCAACCGCTCCGCCACCGGGAACAAGAGGAAGACGCCCTCCGAAGACGGCTGAAGGCGGACCCCTCTGTTGATCGTCTGTCGTCGAGAAACAGAGTTTTTTTCCGTCTACCATCGGGCCTTCGCGGTTCAGGGACGAAGACAAGAGGGAGCAGAGTATGCGGTGACACCCATGAGACCTTCTTTGTCCTGGACGAAGTCCATCTTGACCTCCTTTGGCTTTGATTCCTATCAATGAAACTTAATTCTCTTTGCTATCCTTACACCAAACGTATCTCCGAGGCCCAAGCTTCTGAATCTTTTTCATTCCTCTCTAACCCCAACCTTTTCACGCCTTGTTCAAGCTGAGCAGCGGATGGTGGTGCTTTCGGAGGATCTCAACATATGAGCAGAAGGAATTTTCTTCTGTTCATAAAAAATGGTCTACAATCTTAGGAATGCAATGGGTGAATCAAGAAACGGAGAATTTCTTGTGTAGGATGCCTTCCTCATGTGATTGTTTTCTCATTCATATTATTAGTATATAGAGACTCCGCAGTCTTGTGTTGATAAATTTTTAATGGGGTTAAATAGAATGTACTTTTCCACTATTTGAGAGGCTCTTCAACTCCTCTTTCGCAGGGGAGAAAGAAGAAGCTGAAGCATCTCCTAGGTATCTGATGAGGTTTGCTTCTGATATCTTCCAAGGCCTTTATTGAGCTTTGATTTTCTAAAATATTTACAAATTTAAAGGGCAACTCAAGTAGCCACAACTATGAAAACAAGTGGGTTTGTCTCATACCATGATGGTGGTGTTTAACATTTTTTTTGAAAAAGTGTGGTAATAAAGAGCAAAGAAGGCTCTTCGAATCTTCTATATGGCTTTTGATATATGTGTATTGACTTTGTATGTTGATTTAAATAATTTTTATGTTAACAAATTGAGAGAGATTTTGAATATCAGAATTCCTATATACTTCTTGCTAGTTTTTTTATTCATTGTAAATAATTTTGAGATTTTCTTTTAGTGTAATATTTTCTTTTCTAGACTTTTTAAAGCTTTGAATTAACAACAACTAAAGCATCACCAATTTCAGCAAGAAAACCACATAACTCTTCTGTACACGAAGGTTGTCTCTACTCTCTTCTTTAGACTCTGGTAAAGGATTATCTTCATCACTCCAAGTAGTTACTATTACTTTTTTTCTCTTTTGTCAATCTTTAGCCTTGGACAATCAGCATTCAAATGTCTCAATTTTTTGCAGTCAAAATAGATTGGTTTATTATTGCATTTATCAATAATGTCTTCATATTTTTTTGTAAATTATAATATGATTAATTCAATCCCTCCCTTCTTGATTTCTATGCAATCTAAAATCCAACATATCTTACATCATGAAAACCTTATTGAATACCTAAGATTCCTCCACCCAATAGTTAATACCTTTGGTTTCTACGATTATTTACTAAAGAACATTTATTGAAATTCATAATGCTGGTCCCTATATGGCTGGATAATTTAGGAGAAGGGATGAATTTATTTTAAATTTAAGATATATATATATATGATATGTTTTTCTCTTTTATATATATTAATATCTTATTTATTTAATTTTCTATTAATATATAAATATAGAAAAATCAACAAAAGATAATTCACATCAGATCTTATAATGATTCGGTCAAACTCCTTTGTCCTATATCTATTTTTGAGGACTTCACCTTAATTTTACTATTTCACCCCCAAAATACTCTTCAATCTTATGGGGATCAAGGACCCCTTACATTCTCAAGCTTTGAGAGCTTACAATTATTCAACCTAGAACTCTATCTCTATAATTTCTAAGTCTTTAGGTCTCTTTGTTGTAGGCACATCATAGATGCCTCAATGAACAATATGATTATCTTGACTGCACACATGGGTGTTTCAACCAATCTACACATCACATACTAAAATAGAAACAAAGAGCAATATGAAATGAGTTTTCTACAGCCCTTAAAATCTTCTTTTTTGTTCACTAAGAATTGTTGAAGTTACTTAAAAAATATTGGGCTAAAGTAGTAAGGTCTTGAGGGTTAGAGAGATGTCCACATCTTCTTTAAAGTAAACAACCTTGTCCTTATTTTTTTTGAGAGGTGAAAGTGTTGATGAGGAGAAGAAATCATTGTTGAATCAACAACCATCACTTAAAAATTGTGATTTTCTCTCTTGCCCTAATTTCGGTTGAAATGCCTTATTTATAGGTGGGCTAGGCCACCCCCTTTGCTCCTTATCAGGTCAAACAGTTGACTTAAAATGGGCCTTGATGGACCACATGCAGATCCTAGAAAAATAGAAAAAGTAATTATAAAGAATGAAAATTTTCATAACTCCCTTCATACTTCAGAGTTTTAGGAAGGTTTTCAGTTTTAAATTCCTCTTTTAATCAGATTGTCATTAAGTAGTCCCACACTTATATTTATCACATACTTTAGTATAAAAAGTCATACTAATGAACCATTATGCCCCCACATGAATATACAAAACCAACAATATTGTAAAATCAATATTAAATCAACATGTTAATCATTTTCTCTTAGATTTATTTTACTTGACTCCTCCATCAAAGACCTTCATATTGGTCCTATATTATTGAAGTTGTACATTAAGACTTGCATATGAGATGATATCATCTTTACCACTCACTGAATTTTTATTATTATTATATTCATAGTCTAACATTCATATTATAATGAGAAATTAAATTGAATAGGATACTTTCCATGATCCACACCTTAGATAATTACTATAATAATATTGACTTCTATCAATATTTTAGGTACCTTATGATACATATATTAATTTCATGACTTTATATTAATATCAAAAAATCATCAAAATCATCATAAGTTAATCATGAACTAAACACATGACTAAAAAATTCTTTACATTGGAGATTTCAAAGGTCTAGCTCTCCCATATTAGACATAAAATTATTAACTTGTCTTTCCCCTATTACTTCTACTTCCACAAAGTGCCTTTAAAAATAAAATAGAAAATATTTGACTTATGAATGATCCTCACAAGTGGAAGAAGTGTTTTTGTGATCATGTGTTTAGAGGTTTATGAAAGCTTTAATGAAATAGCACTCATTACTCCTTGAGAAAGATAAATGCTCATACCAAAAATCGAGTAAGTTATGGTAGCTTGAATATGTTATTTGAAAGCCCATTAACTCAACCATTAGAAATGCAAATAATATCTAGTTAACCTAATATTTGTTAAGTGAACTTTGAGTCAATTCATAGTAAAATGTATTAACTATCAATCTACATTCTCTCAAACTTTTAAATATTTAATTTTATAATACTTTGATTAGCTATTTGTTTTTATTTATATTTTTTACATTTATTTTCTAACATTATTAGGTACCTTTGCTAGAGGATATGTTGACATTTTTTTGTAATTGTTGGATTATATGTTATATCTTCAAAAAAAGGTTTCCTTGTCTTTCGTGAGTTCAACTTGCTAATTCTTGTGTTTGTTTATTCCAAAAACCAACCTGGGTGGACTAATGGGTTGACTCACAAGTCTTTTTTCTTAGATGTTCTATCTAAAATGAGTTATTTTGTGCTTAATTCATGTCTTCATTTAGACCTCTTCCTGGGTGACTTTTTTATCAATTTATATATGAAAAATATTACCAAACAACAAACGCCCATGATCTAATAATTTAGACCTTTGTCTACTAACTATCATAGTAAAAGAATATATTTATTATCAATTTTTATTTTGACTACTATTTTTTGAATTTAAAAATACAAAAAAGAAACACAAAATTCATAATATTATCAAATAAATTTGGAATCATGAATTATAAATTCAAGCTCATGTTCAAAAAATTAAATATTAGTTGAATAACATCTACATTATTTTTTTTAATTTAAAGATATAATAATGGAGAGGTAAAAATCTAGAAAATGTTTTCTTAATGTATTCTTGAAATTTTGATAAATGAGATAAGAGATTGAATAACCATTTCAATTATTATTAGATGGGATACCATACCTATTGATGATGATACATTCATATTTTCCCTATTTATTTTTTAATTGAACAAATCAACATTCACATAAATGATTCTAGTATATACACCCACTACTTGACAAAAAAGATCTTGGAAAGATGATATATATTATCCAATGTTAGCCCTTAATGACATACCACATGCAAAGCTTTAAATGATATATGAGAAGATGGCATTAAAGAGAAATAGGAAAAACATAACAA